AGACTCACAGAGCTTAGTCATACCTCCCTGATATATAGAGATAGCCATCTCGGAGCCTGAAATAAAACACAGAGAAAGGAAGTAATATGGCATTTAAACAGCTCAGGGTTCATAAATACAAACATACAAAGAACACAAGCTGATATAAAATAATATTAGACACCAGCTCAATATAATGCATAATGTATACTCATGACTAGTGTTTGAGTAGATTAAAGAAGGGCGCTCTGCAGCACTTTCACTGTTGTTTTTGGTAGAGGATCATGGCACAGACAATGTTATGTTCTTTTTCTGCTCCAAAAGTAACACCACCATGTTGTTTTATTGATGTGTCGGCAGAAGTGGCCCACAAAAGAGGCCTAATTAAAGAAGCTCCATTTCTTATCACATGGCTTCCCTACAGGAGGGAGAACTGGATTCACCAGATTGTTTGGTTCCTTAGTTAAGAACCAGAATTAACTCAACCTGTCCAACTCTCACAATAGCTCTGATGACACAAATACACTGGTATTGGGTCAGAAATGGCTGGAATGTTCACCTATCATAGCTGCTTCAATGGCATCTGATGAGTAAGAATGCTCTGTGTGTCTCCTTGACATTTCAAAGGAATTTTATTTTGCATTTGTCAATATTTGGTATGATTATATGATTCAAAGCAAACACAATAAGAGGAGACTTTTGCTTGAAGAACATTTCACTCAAGAAGATTTTCTTATTTGATAGAGTGATGAATTTGACCCAGTTTTCTGTTGCAGTTGATGTTAGATTGTTTTCCATTTCTGTTCTCAGCAATGAGCCTCAGACTCTATAGCCTCATCCTGTAGGTGTGTGTCTGTGTGTCTGTGGGAGAGAGCGACAAAGAAGGAGAGGCAGTGGTATGAGTCCTTAGAAGTGTGAAATAAAGGCGCATGAGACAGCAAATATGACAGAATGCTATGTTCATGACAGAGGAAGTGATTGACGATTGTAATGTGTGTGTGTGCGTGTGTGAACAAGGGACTGAAGGTCAGTGGTAAATGCCTTGAATTACCTCTTCAATATTTCTTGGCCTACACTGTCTCTCCAAGCAAAATGCAGAATACCCATAAATTCCATGAACTGTGGCTGCTGCATTGAGCAGGCTGATGGCCAAGTGAAACCTGTGATAGGATGCAATAAACAGTCTGACAACCTTCTGAGGCAGCACCAGGCAGACCCAGCACAGACCAGTGATTTTACATCAATAAAACTACCAGTATAACCACATGTATGACCCCCAGTGACCAGCACTTTTCATGAACCTTTACACAAGACCATTAACATCGTCATCTATGGCAGGACCGAGTTTGGGAACCCCTGATCTATGGTATAGTTACATGTATGATATCAGCCTAAGTAATTGATTCACAATTCACATGCACATTCAGCTTTGAAAATCGTTGGCAATGGGAGGGTATAATGTAGCAAACGGATCACATGCTTCCTTGTTCATTTATGCAGGAGAGTGAGGAAGTGATGAGGCCTGTTAAAGACAGCAAAAAAAAAGTATATTTGAATGATGATGGAAAGTGAAGGCTGTCGGGATAATGGTTTGTGACAAAGTTTTTGCTTGTTTTGAATAGGTTACCTCATCCAATTTTCGACATTATTAATTGGTTATCTTAAGAATAAGACATTCTTACAAACCTAAAAGATTGTGTTGACGAGCATCATTATACTGACCAAGCAAGGCAAAGTGGGTGAGCAACACCCATTCTGCTAAACAGAACTAACATACATCACCCTAAAGATGTTCATAGCATGACTAATCAACCCAATGAAAACAACCTCTCAGGGTGGAAGCCCAAAATGGCTGTATACAGGAGGTTGTGCATCGATATACTGTCCTAAAATCATCCTGTTCTTGTTGTGATTGGAGCAGGCCAGTGGAACTCACAGCAATGTTAATTGAAAGAGGAAACACTTACGTAACATGTTCCCGGAAAAAAAGCAAGCACGTCTCCTCTGGGACACAAAACAACGGCTACTGTTTTCACCCCTTAATTGGAGATTGTTATGACTCATATATGCAAATTCCCCATGTCTCTAATTAGTTTTTTTTTAGGCGTGCTAGGACTAACAGAGTGATGATTCATTGAAAATCATCTTTGAAGCCTTAATTCTGTAGCACAGGCCTCCTGGTTGGCTGTCATTCCCCTGAGATTAAACCCAGAATGTAATTACAAGGCAGATAGATCGCTGTTCTCTCTGACACAGAAACCCAGCCACACACTGAAGATGGAGAAACGCATTGGGAGAAGATTAAAGAACAGAAAGTTTTAGAGCTGGTTTAACAATCCAAGAGTTTCATCAGTGATATGGCAAAATTTGATATTTCCTCTTAATGCTGTGCCAAACAGTCTTTTTCTTTTATGTGAATGACCCCTCTCTGACTCCCCTCTGTTTACCAAGTGTGTCACATAAACTAACCCTGGAGAGGAGATATTTGCTGTCAATATAATAAAGACAGCTGCACAACAAAGCACTCTCCCTCTGCCCATCTGACATGCTGGAAATCAATGGACTATTTTCCATCCCCATTGCAAACCTAATGTGGCACTGCTTTAATCCATGGAAATATCAACAAAATGGACAGGGCACTACCACAGTGGCTAAATATACACAGTCAAGCCAGGAGACATCAATACAAAGTGTGAGAGAGGCGCTGTTTAATCCAGAGATTCCCCATTCCACCCCAGTACAAATGTGCAACAGTCTGCTCAATCACGGATCAGAAATAGAAGGCTTGACACAGCTATTTAGTCCTGACCATATTCCTTTTAAAACCATGTATACCACTAGCAATGCTCTATCAAACAAAGGCCTGGAAGTAAGTCAAACCTCTGTGGACATTGTCTGGACAAAAGGATGTGAAACATGAGGGCCAACACCCCCCTCGCTCTGTCTCTGCTGGTCTGCTGTACTGAGCTCTATCTAGACCAGAGGCTGTCAGTTCACATAATGTTGCCGGACTGAGGAGAGGGCCCTTATCTGTGCCACGCTCTGGGAGATGAGAAACACGCTGGAGCTGGAATACAGAGGAAAAACCATGTGCTGTTAAACAGGTTCTGACAGGGAGGATGGTGAAGGCAAAGACCTCTTTAAAGTGCCATTCAAGACAGTATGATACTAGTAAAAACTACCATCAATATTTTTACATCTTCCAAAAGTGCTATCCAAGGACACTAAGTGCATTTGTTACATCCTGTCATAAACTGGATCCTGACTAATAGGCCGTTTGTAAAACACAACTCTTGATTGCATCGTTTTGGGAAGATGGATTGCAATGCTTTTTCTTGTTGATAATAGTTTTATCATAGGAAACAAGAGATGTGAGAGGAGGCAGAACTCAACACCCTTCACCCTTTGACAAAGAGATTCAGGGCTGAGGTAGGCCTCAGGGCAGGGCACTGGGGCTTCTTTGTGAGCTGTAGGGTGAGGGGGCAGGGAGGTAAGGTGTCTGGGGAGCTGTGTCATGCGGTGGGGCCATCAGCAGGCCAGCTCCAGCTCCCAGCTCCTCTTACTGCAGGAGATCAATAACAGCAGCAGGGGTGGAGCCATGAAGCGCTGATTCAGTATAATCTCTCACTCCCCCTCTACCATTTTCTGCCTTTCACACTCTCCCCGTCTCTCACTTTGTTCCTCTTTTTCCCTACACAATGTCTCTCTGCTCCTTCCTCTCTGTAATAGAGATGCTATACCAGCATCTCAGTCTTACTCTCTCTCTATCTTTGCCTCACGTATCGCCAACCCCCTATTTTTTCCTCTCTCTGTCTCCCTTGGAAACCAGCTGCCTCCACAGTCTGCCGTCTGACAACACAGTGCTAGTGTCGTTGTGCTAACACTACAAGTAGTGATGTTCAAAGAGCTAACAGCAGATTGTGGGGGCTAAACAGCTCTAGCACCTGGAGAGATACCAGCATCAATTACAGTATATTGACCATCACAACCCTGATGCTAAATGTACACAATGTATATGAATAAAAGTCTCTATAAGAGCCCTGTTTTCAATATCACAGTTGATCGGCTCTGGGCTTAAATTAGTATGACATATAAGGCCATCAACTACACACGTCCATTCACTAACCCATTAACGGATCAAACAGATATACACAGCAATGCGCCCACAGACATGAGCGGAACTGATTAACTGTGGGGATCATAGACACACAGTTAGCTCAGTGTGGCTTCATGTCTCTTAGGCAGAGGCAGAGGAAACTGGAGGCTGTGTTTATTGATGGTGGGCGTTGTTTGTGCTGTGTGGAAGCTTCATTCACTCTAATATGGCAGAGTGACTGAGACTGGCCCTGCACTGTCTGGGACAATGGTTCCACTGTGTGAGGGGAAGGTCACTGAGCTACTGGTCTATCTACCATTGTGTCCTCCTCGTATTTCTGGTGATCCAGTGTATATAGGTAATAGCACGCCTCTCAAGGAGCGGCCATCAGGTCTTATCTCTGTGAGGATAGTGACTAACACCACCAAGAATTGGTCAGTGGTGTTCTGGAGGCAGGAAATTAGGAATTTATTACAGGGAAATGCAATATTCTGTAAAGCTTGCCACCATTAATTATTTCAGACGTCGGAGATGGCATTGATCCAAATCTAAACACGTAGTGATCATTTTCTAAGATTAAGTTTGAACTGTTTGAAATTATGAGTCTAGTTAAGAGTAAATTATATTGAAGTACAACTAACAAACCAACTATTAGGTGATGTTTGACAATGTTAAAATTATATCAATTTAATAACATGGCACTGCTTTGTGCTTTCTGATAACGATGGAACTTGGCACTTGTGATATTAATCAAAGTGAAATCACATTCAAATTATTTAATGATCTGGAGGACCAGTGTGGATGACTGCGTATCTCTCTGTGAGCAGGATGACGCAGTGAGTTATGAACGGCCTTGCCATGGTCGGGGAACTCCTGGATTGGTGGTGCAGATCTGTCCCAAGGGCGCCCTCTGGTGGCTGTCTCCCTACATGAACACATGCTGCATCAGCCTGGAGCTCTCTATGCCAGGGGAGAGGCGCATGGCCCCTGACTGAGACAGCAGGATGGAGAGGATCTCCTGGGCCAGCAGAGGCTTGTTCTTCTGGCCACAGCGACCCGCTATCTCACCCCAGTTCTCTGCAGAACACCCAGTATCATCCAGAATCACCTTCTCCAAAGTACCTGAAAATCACAGCAGCACAGGTCAGCTCAACTTGTGCATGTGTGCGACCATGTGTGGTTGCCCTGCTGATTGGTGGGTGGGTGTAGCCTACCTACCTTGCCCACTTGAATGAGTTTTCTCCACCATCTGCAGTGCCAGGTCCTCCAGATCAGAGTTGAGCAGAGCATGGCAGGCAAAGCCCAAAGAAAGCACTGCAGGCTGGCCCTGGTACTCCTGAGTCAACGCCTGGAGAAGAGCCAGACTGGGACAGCCCTTCAGCACAAACAGACAGTCATCTGCACATAAACATACACACAGAGAAAACAATACAGATGTACTTAAATACACACATTGCACACACTGAGTCACTTACACATACAGTTGAAGTCGGAAGTTTACATACACCCTACATTTAAACTCAGTTTTTCACAATTCCTGACATTTAATCCTAGTAAAAATTCCCTGTCTTAGGTCAGTTAGGATCACCACTTTATTTTAAGAATGTGAAATGTCAGAATAATAGTAGAGAGAATTATTTATTTAAGCTTTTATTTATTTCATCACATTCCCAGTTGGTCAGAAGTTTACATACAATCAATTAGTATTTGGTAGCATTGCCTTTAAATTGTTTAACTTGGGTCAAACGTTTCGGCTAGCCTTCCACAAGCTTCCCACAATAAGTTGGGTGAATTTTGGCCCATTCCTCCTGTCAGAGCTGGTGTAACTGAGTCAGGTTAGTAGGCCTCCTTGCTCGCACACGCCTTTTCAGTTCTGCCCACACATTTCTATAGGATTGAGGTCAGGGCTTTGTGATGGCCACTCCAATACCTTGACTTTGTTGTCCTTAAGCTATTTTGCCACAACTTTGGAAGTATGCTTGGGGTCATTGTCCATTTGGAAGACCTATTTGCGACCAAGCTTTAACTTCCTGACTGATGTTGCTTCAATATATCCACATAAATTTTCCTTCCTCATGATGCCATCTATTTTGTGAAGTGCACCAGTCTCTCCTGCAGCAAATCACCCCCACAGCATGATGCTGCCACCCCCGTGCTTCACGGTTGGGATGGTGTTCTTCGGCTTGCAAGCTACCCCCTTTTTTCTCCAAACATAACGATGGTCATTATGGCCAAACAGTTATATTTTTGTTTCATCAGACCAGAGGACATTTCTCCAAAAAGTACAATCTTTGTCCACATGTACAGCTGCAAACCGTAGTCTGTCTTTTTTATGGCGGTTTTGGAGCAGTGGCTTCTTCCTTGCTGAGCAGCCTTTCAGGTTATGTCGATATAGGACTCGGTGTACTGTGGATATAGATACTTTTGTACCTGTTTCCTCCAGCATCTTCACAAGGTCCTTTGCTGTTGTTCTGGGATTGAATTGCATTTTTTGCACCAAAGTACGTTCATCTCTAGGAGACAGAACGCGTCTCCTTCCTGAGCGGTACGATGGCTGCGTGGTCCCATGGTGTTTATACTTGCGTACTATTGTTTGTACAGATGAACGTGGTACCTTCAGGTGTTTGGAAATTGCTCCCAAGGATGAACCAGACTTGTGGAGGTCTACAATTTTTTTTCTGAGGTCTTGGCTGATTTCTTTTGATTTTCCCATGATGTCAAGCAAAGAGGCACTGAGTTTGAAGGTAGGCCTTGAAATACATCCACAGGTACACCTCCAATTGACAAAAATTATGTCAATTAGCCTATCAGAAGCTTCTAAAGCCATGACATCATTTTCTGGAATTTTCCATGCTGTTTAAAGGCACCGTCAACTTAGTGTATGTAAACCTCTGACCCACTGGAATTGTGATACAGTGAATTATAAGTGAAATAATCTGTCTGTAAACAATTGTTGGAAAACTTACTTGTGTCATGCACAAAGTAGACTTGCCAAAACTTTAGTTTGTTAACAACAAAAAATTTGTGGAGTGGTTGAAAAAGAAGTTTTAATGACTCCAACCTAAGTGTATGTAAACTTCCGACTTCAACTGTACACTACATAGGATGTGTGTGAATAGTATCTGTAAATGAGTGTGTTCCCCACCTGCAGTAAAGCCTTTGCTTTGATAGATGAACTCCATAGTACTGCTGGTCATGCCTCTCTTGCACATGCTCAGTGCGGCCTTCCTGAGCATGCCGCAGGCCTTGTAGACGATGTGGGCCAGAGCCAGGCATGTGTCAGCCATCCGCGGCTTCCTGTCTCCATGCTCACAGATCACATCCCCCAGAGCCTCGCTGTATGTTAGCCTGAGAAGGTTATGGAGAAAGCTGTAACCCGACGTAGACTCAATAACGAAGAGCTCTAAACACAATATCTACAGTTGAAGTCGGAAGTTTACATACACTTATGTCGGTTAGGACATCTACTTTGTGCATGACACAAGTAATCTTTCCAACAATTGTTTACAGACAGATTATTTCACTTATAATTCACTGTATCACAATTCCAGTGGGTCAGAAGTTGACTGTGCCTTTAAACAGCTTGGGAAATTCCAGAAAATGATGTCATGGCTTTAGAAGCTTCTGATAGGCTAATGGACATAAATTGAGTCAATTGGAGGTGTACCTGTTGATGTATTTCAAGGCCTACCTTCAAACTCAGTGCCTCTTTGCTTGACGTCATAGGAAAATCAAAGGAAATCAGCTAAGACCTCAGAAAAAGAATTGTAGACCACAGGTCTGGTTCATCCTTGGGAGCAATTTCCAAAAGCCTGAAGGTACCACGTTCATCTGTACAAACAATAGTACACAAGTATAAACACCATGGGACCACGCAGCCGTCATACCGCTCAGGAAGGAGACACGTTCTGTCTCCTAGAGATGAACGTACTTTGGTGCGAAAAGTGCAAATCAATTCCAGAACAACAGCAAAGGACCTTGTGAAGATGCTGGAGGAAACAGGTACAAAAGTATCTATATCCACAGTAAAACGAATCCTATATCGACATAACCTGAAAGGCCGCTCAGCAAGGAAGAAGCCACTGCTCCAAAACCGCCATAAAAAAGCCAGACTATGGTTTGCAACTGCACATGGGGACAAAGATTGTACTTTTTGGAGAAATGTCCTCTGGTCTGATGAAACAAAAATAGAACTGTTTGGCCATAATGACCATCGTTATGTTTGGAGAAAAAAGGGGGTAGCTTGCAAGCCGAAGAACACCATCCCAACCGTGAAGCACGGGGTGGCAGCATCATGCTGTGGGAGTGCATTGCTGCAGGAGGGACTGGTGCACTTCACAAAATAGATGGCATCATGAGGATGTAAAATTATGTGGATATATTGAAGAACAACATCTCAAGACATCAGTCAGGAAGTTAAAGCTTGGTCGCAAATGGGTCTTCCAAATGGACAATGACCCCAAGCATACTTCCAAAGTTGTAGCAAAATGGCTTAAGGACAACAAAGTCAAGGTATTGGAGTGGCCATCACAAAGCCCTGACCTCAATCCTATAGAACATTTGTGGGCAGAACTGAAAAAGCGTGTGCGAGCAAGGAGGCCTACTAACCTGACTCAGTTACACCAGCTCTGTCAGGAGGAATGGGCCAAAATTCACCCAACTTATTGTGAGAAGCTTGTGGAATGCTACCCGAAACGTTTAACCCAAGTTAAACAATTTAAAGGAAATGCTACCAAATACTAATTGAGAGTATGTAAACTTCTGACCCACTGGGAATGTGATGAAAGAAATAAAAGCTGAAATAAATCACTCTCTACTATTATTCTGACATTTCACATTCTTAAAATAAAGTGGTGATCCTAACTGACCTAAAACAGAGAATTTTTACTAGGATTAAATGTCAGGAATGGTGAAAAACTGAGTTTAAATGTATTTGGCTAAGGTGTATGTAAACTTCCGACTTCTTATTTCGTGATTGCTACAACCATGCCCAGCTATACCATTTAAACCCTACAACAAAAAGACTCATAACCCCTAACACTCACATTATACAAACTGATATGCTGACCTCTTCTGGGTGACCCAGTGTGTGACCAGCTCTACGTAGTTGTGCTGCATGGCACACCGGACCCCCTCCACTGACAGGGTCTCCACAGGCAGCTGTTTCCCAGCATGCACCGAGATCATGAGTGCCTGGAAGAAGAGCAGGAGAGGGGGAAGTTCCCCCTGGCCCTGGTACACTGTGACCGCTAGAGGGGAAACAAAGATGGTTGAAAACAGTTCATACAGACTTATATAGTCTATGTGCTGTGTGCCTGTACAAGATGCAGAGTTACTTTATGGTTGAGACTTCATTATGACTCACATGATGTGTGTATAGGGACAACAACACTATAGGACGTCTGTATAAGATAGAAAATAAAGAGGTTCCACCTTTGAACCTTTCCATTGTCTCCATGTTTCTCAAGACTCCATGAGGGGATTTGGCAGCATGGAAAGCAGCTGCCTCATACTCACCCCCCTCAAATAGGTCAATGAACCTGCAGGGAGACATAACACAACACATAGAGGAATGATCTATACATACAGTATGCATTGGTTGAGAGCATAGTACTAGAACTCTGAAAATAACTGAAGTACCTTTCAATGTAATCCACCAAGAGCTCCGATTCATTGACCTTGCTTGGATCATCCTCTTCAAACACTACTGCACTAATGCCAGGGAAATCAGTGTCGCTCACTAGAATGAAAATCATATCACTTTATTGCTGCTGTATCATGAGCCTTCTCATACTTAAAAAACACACAAAAGGTCTTGTGAGGTTTATAGGCCTGCCGCATCATAAGTAGAAGACAAATAGGTTATAACACAAAAATGAGACAAGCTCCATGAGCTGCTCCATAAAGCTAGGCTACATTATCCCTGACTAGAACTTCATTCACTGTCAGTGTCACTAATACGAACATTCACTGTATGCTAAAGTGGAAGTGTAAAATACTTTTCAGATCAAATATATTATCCAGTGTTGAGGTGAGGAACTCCAGCAGAGTGACTTCTTTTCCTGTCTTTTCCCATGTCATGAGGGAGTCATTCAGAAACTTCATCTGTTTGTAACTAGAAAACCAGAAGAACCGATAACTTTAGCAACAACATAGGCCTATTCAATGGTATTCTATAGCCACTTGTGCCCGTGAGTCTTGAGCAAAGTTAGACAGTCTCACCGGAGTTGGAGTCTCTCATTCTCCACTGCCAGCTCATCCCTCTGGTCCAGGGTGGACCGCATTGTATTGTCCAGGTCAGCCTTGACAGAAACAGATACATACTGGCTCTTCCTCTTTATCTGCAGGTTGGCTCGCTTTCGCTCAAGGTACTCCAAATGCTTTGCCAGAGCTACTGGGTTCATCGACTCATCAAATGTCAGACCTGGAAAAAAAACTATACTGTAAGCACTGCTCATGAATGACATATTGACATGACACATGACAATATGTACTTGGGTAAACATACAGCCATTATAACGTTAAGTCAAAACAAAACGGCACAATGTGTTCAGCAATGTACGGCCATGCCTGGAATTTGCCCAACGGGCCGTAGTGTCTTGCTGTCCGAGGTCTTCTGATGCAATGAGGGTCTCTTGTCTCTCCTCGACTCCTGTAGTCTATTTAACTCTACCTGCAGCTCTGCAGTGTCTCTCTGAATGATGGCAATCCTAGAAGAGGGAAAAAACTATGTTTAGGTATGGATGATATACTATACTCTGGGGCCGTATTATGCCATGGTGAAAGATTTAAGTGACTCTCTTGCCTTTCCTGAAGCTGGACAGCTCTTCTCTGACAGTACATAAGGGAGGTGGGCTGGGTCACCATGGCCTTCAGTTTCCCATGCGCTAGCTTGGCATCACGCTCACTCTTCTTTATGGCACAGATGAACTCATCATACTCTTTCTTGATGGCGGTGAGAATGGTTTTGTATGCAGTTGCATACTCAATTACCTGAGAAAATCAAACAAGCAAGAGATAGGCATAGTTACAATGCAACAAGTTAGCCTAGGCATTCTGATCAGGTCAGGTGTGTAGGCCTAAAAAATTATTGAGTGATGATGCTGAAACAAGGCGAAAGGGTATGGTGCTTTATGTTGATACCTTATCAAATGCAGAACTGTAAATTATGTATCGTTGCTCATCAGGTCCTTCATCTGGACACATCAGACGTTCCTTCTCACGTTTAATGTATTCACCAAGAGATTCTAGGAAATTCTTGTCACTGGCAGATTTGATAGGTGGCAAGGTTCTTCTTCCAGATTCTTCTGCTGTGTGATGTAAGTTTCCAGCCCCAAACATGATTTTCTTATGTTTTTAACTTGCTGCTTGGAGCATGGGTTTCATTTCTCCAACACGGATAAATATTGCAGAGAAATGTGTCCAAAAGGTAAACATGAAGGTTGCTATGGACATCTCGAGGGTATGTTGGGTAATGTAGTTTTAAAATCGACATAAAAAAACGATCGAAACTAATTTCATATTTTCAGATAAAAACTAAACTAAATCTGTTTTTTGGGGAAAATAAGCGTGATGTAAATACATTTGTCTGAGAGCGGTATTTTGAACAGGCATCTTATTTAACACCTACTCCCTGCAGACGAGCACGGAAAACCCCGTCGCACGCTTCGAAAGCCCTCTTCTCATGATCCGCCATTAGCAGGAGAACTGTGGTAAGATCGTGGTCTCTATTTTAAGCCATTATTTAACATAATAACGACATTGTATATTGTGTTAAAGCTATTATAGTTATAAATACAACGCTGTCGTTCTTATGTACAGGTGGATTGAACGCCAAGATGCAGATTTTCGTCAAAACCCTCACGGGGAAGACTATAACCCTCGAGGTGGGTACTTCGGGCTTGTGATGGAGCGCTTCTTGCCTTTAGGTTTACTAGTGGAGCATGTATTTAACAAGCTAGCTGGCTAGGTAGCTAACATTTATATTAGTCTAGAGTGCGTTATTATAGCAATCAGTCAGCCGTGAACACTTGCAGGTTAACTGATATTTATTGGAAGGTAGCTGGAACTTGCCAACTTGGTGATCGTTTTTAAAAAAAAAATTCTTCTGAACTGCTAACTATTTGGCTAACGTTACAGTAGTTAGCTACATTTTGATAGCATGGCCCTGCGTGTACACGTGTAAATGACGAGGTCAGCTCGGCTAACTATTTTAGCTATATAAAAACATCCGTCTGTTAATGTAACTTTACATATGATAAGTGATATGTTATTGCCGTTTGGCTGGTAACAAATTGAAGTGAATCACTATCCTTGAAAGATTTCTTGTTAGCCACGTTACTGTTTCACAACTGACAGGTTCTGTTATTTCCAGGTTGAGCCTTCAGATACCATTGAAAATGTCAAGGCTAAGATTCAAGACAAAGAAGGTAATTACATAATGTTTAATGTCATCCTTTGAATTGCATATAAGATAGCATTGATGTTGGCTGTCTGAAAGACTGAACTCAATGCACTTGGGTCTCCCTCCAGGTATCCCTCCTGATCAGCAGAGGTTGATCTTCGCTGGTAAGCAGCTGGAGGATGGACGCACACTGTCTGACTACAACATTCAGAAGGTGAGAACATTTTAGCCTCCCTAAACATTTGACAACACTACACTTTAGTAAAGGTGTTGCAGGAAGTAGATTACATCACGTAAGTGCACAACACACAATTCCCTTAGACCAGTTTTTCTCAGTACGGTCCACCCGAATACCCGACCCCATGTCCCGGTCCAAAATGTGAACTTTTCCCTCTGGTCGGATTCTGGTTGATTGTCATCAGTGTAACTACAGCTGGTGGACCTGACCACTGCTTTGCATAGCCTATAGCATTATTGACTTTCAGAAGGCCTAGCCAAATTATAAAGACCTATTTGTTAACCAGAAGAGCAACTTGGCTGAAATATTTTTTTTATCTCTGGTCTAGTCTAACGGGTACAGTTCTAGGTCTGGTTGTCGTTGGGTCTCATTGTTCTCGGGTCTGGGTCCCTCCATTTCTTTTTATGATCGGGTCTGATAGTCCGGCCGGGTCCAACTTTTTGGACCCCGAGAAGATCTCTAGTTCTCAGCCTTTAACCTCCCAAGGCACACTAAGATGTTTTTTTTGTCATTTATCTGATCACATTTAAAAGTAATTCATATTCAGTTAATGTTCAAAGTACGCTATTTCATAATGTTTTAATGCAACGTATTTGAGTTATTATTGGTGGTAGGTTAGAGAATTAATCGTTTCTCAGCATTGACTCATTGTATTGATATTTTGTTTCTGGGTGGTTTTGTTAATTCTATGGTGAATAATACTTTTTTTGACATTTTAGTCATTTAGCAGACGCTCATATCCAGAGCGACTTACAATTAGTGAGTGCATACATTTTTCATACTGGCCCCCTTATGTTTATTTGGGAACAGTCTGAGTAATTTTGTATTCTTAGTTTTTCATATGCAGTGTTGACCATTGAAGCCATAGCCATTTGTTGTCTGTTTGGCTGAACTGTTGCTTTTTCCTGCAGGAGTCCACTCTGCACTTGGTGCTGAGACTGCGTGGGGGTGCCAAGAAGAGGAAGAAGAAGTCCTACACCACTCCCAAGAAGAACAAGCACAAGAGGAAGAAGGTCAAGCTCGCAGTTCTCAAGTACTACAAGGTAAGGCATTTCCTTTATTGTGGATTACAGCTAGATTCAATTAATCATAATATAAATTTTGGTAGTTGGCTGTTTTGGCTGTGACCACTACCATATATCTAGTGATTGGCGCCAACTATTATTTTGTAGACATTTGTTACTTTCGGAGTGAAACAGGGACATAATACTACCTGAACTTGTCCAATAACAAGCTCATTTTTGGCCAATGATTAAAATGAATATTCAGACTTCCTGTGGTGTCAAGAATTCCTCGTCAATGAGGCCGTTCATAAAAAAGACCACACTTTGGTTTTCTGTTGCAAAACCTTTGCTATGTTGTCCTACTGAACACAGCCACTGTCTTGTTTCGTTGCTGTACTTATGGTCTCCTCAGGTTGACGAAAACGGAAAGATCCACCGTCTGCGTCGTGAGTGCCCAGCTGATGAGTGTGGAGCTGGCGTGTTTATGGCCAGCCACTTCGATAGGCACTACTGTGGAAAGTGCTGCCTCACCTACTGCTTCAACAAACCCGAGGACAAGTAAACGAATGAACCGGAGTAAATAAAATGTTTTCACCACCAATCACTGTGATGGCTTGATTCTTATCTTTATTCACATTGGATAGAAGATTGGTTTCCAATTTTGACATTTTCATAGGATTATTATTAGCAGGGCTACGAATAGAATTCTGGCTTTTTAGGCTTGAACATTATTTAAAATAAAATAGGCATTGTAAAACTATTTATTTTACAATGCAATTTGTCAGTTGTCACTGAATGTTCTACATGGCTTATGCTGCGTTTAGACAAGGGACGCAAAAACCGTCATACAGGTCAGCGTAGAGGGACAACAAAGCTGGTGACAGCAAAAGCAAGCCAGCACGACTGTATGAGTTGTTATGGGGATTAGAGTAAAAAGTGCAAATCAATATCCGGCAGAGAACGCTATGGCAAAAGTTGAAATATTTTAACTTTGGCGGCAAGTACCGTCTATTGTGACGGCTGACGGCATTTACCGTCGTGCTCTCGTTGAAAACAATGACATCTGGTTTGCCGTCTACCTCGTACCATGTAAACGCGGCATTAGTGTGGGCCCCATTGGTTGTAAACTCAATTCAAACTACTGCTTTGTATTGATGCTGTTGTATTCATCACTCATGTCAAAACTTCAAGGAAATAGTTTACCCCTGGGCGGCTTTATATTATATTCTAATACAATGGAACTTCAGAATTGAGTCGCAACTACTGCAAATCACTAATGGGTGACAAATATACATCTACACGCCATGAAACAAAAACTAAATCCTCCGTTGACTAGGTTTGTTCATTCGTTCCTAGTCTGCGCATGCGCAGTCGTGTAAATACAGGTTTGTGGAATGAGTCGAGACTGAGGAAGTGTATGCTACGTGGAAGTGTTCCGATTTGTCCTTTGAAAAGCGTTTCTTTCCTTTTGCAAATATTTAACAATGGCAACACCTGCGCTCCGGACTGAGTTGGAAAAGTATTTGGAGAGTCTGAATATCCAGACGGTCTGCATAGACCATCCACCGGTAAGAACCAATAGTCAGTTTAGCTAACGTTAGCCGTATAGCTAGCTTGCCAAGGTGGTCCAGTGAGTTGTTTAAAAAATAAATAAATATTTTTTTTGTAATTTAGCAGACGCTCTTATCCAGAGCGACTTAATGAGTGAATACATTATGTATTTTTTCTTCATACTGGCCCCCCGTGGGAATCGAACCCACGACCCTGGCGTTGCAAGCGCCATGCTCTACCAACTGAGCTATATTGTCCAGTATTGGACAATACTAAAATGCACTGGATTGGAGAGCCAATGCACATCCCCACCTACACTCCTAGAATGATTTTTGCCGTGCATTGTTTTGCTATTTTGAACAAGAATTTACACTTTCACTTGGCTGTATTTTCTGTTGCCTTTTGAAAACCACAACTAGTTGTCGCACGATGACCGTCCCATCATGGACTCCTTCAGTCACTCATTTTATATACATCTCTAGTCAAGCCATTGTTCATTTTAGGACTAGTGCTTATTCAATGTGTAGAACGTTTCAGGTAGAAAATGTAACAATTATCCTACATGACATATGTTCTCTCATCTCATACTAGTCTTCAGTTAATTGTTCCCTCTGATTTCTGCTAGGGTTGCATTTCATTTCAGAAGTCTGAAGGAAACATTTAAATCAAATTTTATTTATCACATACGTGTTTAGCAGATGTTATAGCGGGTGTAGCGAAATGCTTGTGCTTCTAGCTCCGACAGTGCAGTAATATCTAACAAGTCATATCAAAACATTTCACAACATATACCCAATACACACAAAACTAGTAAGGAATGGGATTTAAGAATATATACATATGGACAAGCAATGACAGAGCGGCATGGACTAAGATACAGTAGAATGTTACAGAATAGAATGCAGTATATACATATGAGATGAGTAGTGCAAGATATGTAAACATTAAAGTGACTAGTGTTCCATTTCATAAAGTGGCCAGCGATTCCAATAGGCAGCAGCAGCCTCTAATGTGCTAGTGGTGGCTATTTAACAGTCTGATGGCCTTGAGATAGAAATTGTTTTTCATTCTCGGTCCCAGCTTTGATGCACCTGTACTGACCTCGCCTTCTGGATGATAGAGGGGTGAACAGGCAGTGGCTCGGGTGGTTGATGTCCTTGATTATCTTTTTGGCCTTCCTGTGACATCGGGTGCTGTATGTGTCTTGGAGGGCGGGTAGTTTGCCCCCGGTAATGCGTTCGGCAGACACCACCACCCTCTGGAGAGCCCTGCGGTTGTGGGTGATACAGCCCGACAGGATGCTCTCAATTGTGCATCTGTGAACGTTTTTGAGGGTTTTAGGTGCTAAGCTGAATTTCTTCAGCCTCCTGAGGTTGAAGAGGCTCTGTTGCGCCTTCTTCACCACTGTCTGTGTGGGTGGACCATTTCAGTTTGTCGGTGACGTGTACGCCAAGGAACTTGAAGCTTTCCACCTTCTCCACTGCGGTCCTGTCGATGTGGATAGGGGGGTGCACCCTCTGCTGTTTCCTGAAGTCCACAATCATCTCCTTTGTTTTGTTGATATTTTGTGAGAGGTTATTTTCCTTGCACCATACTCCCAGAGCCCTCACCTCCTCCCTGTAGGCTGTCTCATCATTGTTGGTAATCAAGCCTACTACTGTTGTGTCGTCTGCAAACTTGATTGAGTTGGAGGTGTGCTTGGCCACGCAGTCATGGGTGAACAGGGAGTACAGGAGGGGGCTGAGCTGTAAACAGTCTAGGTGAAAGCAGTAGAATAGATGCCTACTGGAAATGTCCAGATCTTTCATTTCAGTGTAGGTGAAACGAGAAAAGGAGAGGGAGCCATTTTAGACATCAGATACCAGAGTAAGAACGTTATGTCCTGACTTGCTGTGATCATTTTTTCTCCCTTAGGTATTCACTGTGGAAGAGATGATGCCTCACCTGCAAGACCTCTGTGGAGCAGTTACCAAGAACCTCTTCCTGAAAGACAAGAAGAAGAAGGGCCTGTGGCTAGTCTCTGTCCGCCACGACCGTCCGGTCAACCTCAACGACCTGGCTAAGAAGCTAGGCTTGGGTAGTGGCAACCTCCGCTTTGCTGAGGAGGCAGCCATGTTGGAGAAACTGAAGGTGGGCCAAGGCTGTGCCACCGCCCTGGCACTCTTCTGTGATAAGGACCAGAGCGTCAAGTTTGTTCTGGACAGCGACCTGGTCAACGGAGGCCATGAGCGGGTGTACTTCCATCCCATGACCAATGCTGTCTCTATGGGACTAAAGCCAGAGGATCTCTTGAAGTTTTTAAAGGAGACAGGACATGAAGCAGTTCTTCAGAGCTTTGACTAGTAAATACCTTGAAATTAACATACTATCCTGTCAGACTGTGCTTTGGTACAATTATTTATTTCTAAGGTATTTACCTGTGTGCCTTTACTTCGGCTTATCAAGAAATGGCCATTGTAAAAAATAAAATCTAACTTTTGGGACAGAATCAGTTTTCTATGGGCAAGATACCAGTAGATTGTTGGTTATATTAAGTACATGGTTGAAAGACAATGTAGTAGTGAATTACAGTGTTTGCATTGTATCTGCGAGATCTAGTAATTTACAGTTTTGACACTAAATACTTTAGTGTAATAAAGCAGATGATGGAACATTGATTCTCCACTCATCTTCTTTGAGTATACGCTAGCTTTCTAGAGAAGTTTGTGGTCATACGCACATCTTTAACTTAGGTGCTGGGCTAATAAAGAACACCTGTAAAGAAGAGGAATGTTCCTAATTCACCACTTCATCGACCTGACCAAGATCCGGTTGGGATCTAAACATTTTCAATAAAGCAGTGAAGTGGGAGTATAAACAGTGCGGGCCCATCTCCCCCAAAAATGGCATATATAAGATTTAAAGGGGCATTATGTTAATCTGTCCATAGAAATCATGACATTACTTTCGTCCAATATGCCAACCACTTCAGTTGGTGATTAGATGACAAATCATTCACCAGAGGAAGAATAGATGACACTGTTGAGGGTTACAGTATTTTATGAGATGAAGACTTGGCACTGAAGATGAAATGACACACAGGAGTCTTCTGGAGTTTTAATTACATCAAATGGATTTATGTAAAAGTGGAGAAGTGAACACTAGGTCATCACAGACACAGTAATCTGACAGCACTGTACACATACACAGCTGTGCCATTCAGCTCACACAACCTTTATCTTGATTGGATTGGCTGTCAATCAAACAGATGGCATGGCTTCCTGCGATAGTCATTTTGGCATTTCAGAGGAACACAACTTAAAACATAGTCCATTCTGATTGGGAGGAAAGCGTGTTGATTGCTCCATGCAGATTGTGGTTGACCTTGTTGTGTCCACATGCAGATTGCTGAACGTAGACGTCAGCTGTTCCACGGTAGAAAGATGTTGCATGTGCATGCTCATTTACAAAGAGTATCATTAGCATCAAAATGGCAGACTGCAAAAGTCCAGCTGATTCAAAGTCACACAGAGGACAACGTGGCGTCCCCAGGGTCTAGTTTAAGCTCACCCGTTTGGCTTTGCGTGAACATTGGCACCCAGAGTAGGTCCGTGTAGAGTGAACGTTAGCAGTCTGTCACACCATAGCAGTGCAATTTGCCAGAAAGTCAGTTATAGAAAAACAATTGTCACCACATACAGGTAACTGCCAAAATAAGGGCCAAACTTGAGTAAATGAGGGTTCTGGCACCTTTGTTATGGTTTGGGGTGCATTATCCTGGCATGGTTTAGGTCCACAAAACCCCTTAGAGGGCAAGGTAAATGCCAATAAATACACAGCCATTCTGAGTGATCACCTTCAACCTATGGTGAAGCATTTCTATCCTGATGGGAGTGGTCTCTTCCAGGACGACAATGGGTGAGTTCGTTTTGCATGGACCGGTTCCCTGGGTGGGCGGCGTTTGCACATTTTAGACCATTCCATTGGTCCTTAGGTGAAATCTCCACCCACCCGGGGCACCGGGCCATGCGAAATGAACTGGCCCAATGCCCCTCCACAAGGCACGAGTGGCCACTGAATGGTCACTACATCTCAACCCAATTGAACACTTATGGGAGATTCTGGACCGATGCCTGAGACAGCGTTTTCCACCACTATCAACAAAACACCAAATGTTGGAATTTTTCATGGAAGAATGGTGTTGCATCCCTCCAATAGAGTTCCAGACACTTGGAGAATCTATGCCAAGGCGCATTGAAACTGTTCTGGCAGCTTGTGGCCCAATGCCCTATTAAGACACTTTGTTGGTGTTTCCTTTATTTTGGCAGTTACCTATATGTCTTAAAGGGACATTTAAAAATGTTTCTACCTCATATTCATCATTTCCAGCACCACCCCAACATATGTAAAAAATTTGCATTTCTATGTTTTGTAGTAAAAAATATAAGCATTTCCAATTACATCAACCAATTAGTAGGCAATGCCTACTCATAATTGGTTAAAAATCACACAATGCACACCGATGATGTCATTGGAAACAATCTTCCTCTATCTTTTTTACTACAAAACATAGAAATGCACAATTTTCACATATGTTGATGTTGGGGTGGTTGCTGTAGATGATGAATATGAAATATAATTTTTTTTAAATGTCCCTTTAAGAGTTTTGCTTCCTTGATTCAAGGAAAAAAATAGGAAGTTTACTTTTCTCTATTGAAGCATTCTTGAAATTGATTTAAATGTTTGTTTTTTTTACAATCTTTTCTCACTGAAGACCATCTCAGTAGACCAACTTTTAAAGGCTTCAAAGTCAAACAGACAGCTTGAAGGTCACTTTCCTCTCTGAGTTGGAGGCAGACAGAGTGAAGAGAAGAAGAGAAGGGGACAGAAAAAGGTTAGATGCAGAAATGACAGAGAAGAATAAGATGAACATGTATATATAGACGCACAGGAAAGCAATCTACATGCATCCACAGTCAGGGTAAGGGGAGGGAGTTCAGCTGCACCACACCAAAGCCATGCAGTACTGCAGATAGATAAGCTCACAAAGGGACCACCACCTCGTATAGAGCCACCGGTGCTTTTTCCTGAATACCAACAGAAAAAAGTAAAGAAAAGCCAGCTTTGGACACATAGAGTACAGCACTGAGGAGCAGGGAGGAAGGGGGTGCATGTAGGTGTAGCAGGACCTCCTGTTATTAGGGGTTGGGCGTGTTCCACCAGACACCATGCAGACCAGGGTCCATTCACATGCCCTTTACCGGGTGGCACCAGCCAGGCCGGGGGGGGGGGGGGGGGGACACCAGCGTAGCATAAGCAAGCGCGTCCAGGATGGGACATCTGTTACACCACTTTGGGTTACCATGGAGCCCCCCCCACCCAAAAGAAATCTCCCTGTTGGACTTGGAGAGCAGCACTCACCACTTGAGCTCATATAACGGTAGCCGATGAGTAATGTTTAGGAGCTTTGTTGCTCCCCAGTTCCGCTTTTTGACTTTCTGCGCTCTTGTAACACTTCCACATCTGCAGAACAAAAGCATGTCATATTACATCGGAATAAAGGCTGCAGTTAATGGTTTATACACACACAAGATAAATACAATAAAACAATTTCAAAAATGGTAAATACATAACGAAGCAGAAATAAATAATCTAAACTACCAACGACATCACTACTCCTACTGGTGCATAAAGGAGTGCTTTCTCTCCTTGAATATAACTTATGGTTCATAATATACGTTTGTACAGGGTGTACTCAGTCTGTCTACAATAATACATTACCTAACATTAGTTATTGTGCAATTGGAATTTGTATTGTGGCCGTGAGCATTCTCACGAGACTTTACCCAGATCCAATACCATGACAACCAAGAGTAGAAGAAAATTCATTCACAAAATAATCTGACAATCATATTGCAAATTTCTCACCACTATTAACACTAGCAAGACAACATTCTCTCTACAACTCTTTCCTCTCAAATCATTTTGTGAATGACGTTTCTTCCTAAACAATCCCTTAACCCCAATTGAGAGTGATTTGTTCAGAAAAAGAAATGGAACAGAAAAAAATGTGTCATATGCACAAAACACAAACACACCAAAGAAAAAGACAAAACCATTTTGATCACAACAATCAAAATGAGAGGTCCAGAACAAACCAAGACAGAATAAAGCCATGCAGTTCAGTGAATATGCATTGAGGTCGATACAGTAGAATTAGACTTGTAATGAAATGCGATACAGTACTTTAGAGAGGACAGGATTCTCCCACATACCAAACAACCAATAACAAAAAAAAGGGAAACAGAATCTATTATCTCACATTAATAGATGAGAAACTGGTTTCCTGTTAAAGATAGTCGCTCTTTCCTCTGAAGGGCTAGATTACATAATGACTCCATAAATAGAGCTTATTGGCAGTTAAAGTGTTCCTCAGACAGCCTATCATGGGACATGTTCTACAAGCCCTATTCCTTTAATATTAAACAGAGCTCCATTCTAACTCTGGAGGACTTCTGACATGAATATTTTTAAAAGATGAACTGAATGTCCAAATGATAGTTAATGTAGCTTTGCAACATGTTTTCTGAAGATGCATTTGTGATTGGAAAATAAATGGTAAATGTTGATTAAAATAACTAGAACAGCTATTCATGTCCCCCATAATGCAGTCATGTAATAGCTTTATAATGTGAGCTAAACAAGAGGTGTGATTAATGAATAGTATGTGAACGGACCATTGAAGCAAAGACATCCAGAGAACCACAAATCAACGGGAAAGACCAAACCAGAGGTGAGGAATTGTGATTTACAAATCAGCCATGAAAACAACATGAAAGCTCAACAGAAAACATAGCATGACAGTGCTTTGATAAAGCATGCAGAGAGTTCCTTCTTTCTCCCCGACCATCACTGGTCCTTATGCAGGTCCCAGACCAGTAGCTGAACAGGGCGCCACACATTCAGACACAGCCATACTCATACCACAACGATTGTTGGTCCTCTGGGCTAAGGGGTGGGGATGGGGATTGGTCAGCATCAAGCGCATGATTGGTGTCAATGACCTCCTGTTCCCCATTCTGGTCAGGTGGGCAGGGCTTTTGCCCGTTTGGTTGGTTCTGGGTGGTTTGAACAGAGTTGGGCTGGGGGTGGGAGTGGGTTTTGCCTGGGGGGCCACTGATGTTACTGACCAGGGAGGTGTTGAGGGAGAGGAAGGTGTGGCTCTTACCCCCTGTGAAGGTTGGCTCGCTGAAGATGGAGTCCATAAACACTGACTCTACTGTGAAGGACGAGCCAAAGAAGGACTCCAGGCTGGAGAGGTCAGTTTCCTTACTATTGGGGGGTTGCTGACTGCCCGTGCAGGGCATACTGACTGACTTGGGCAGGGACAGGGGCACGAGGGCTGGGGGGATGGACTGGTGGTTGGGGTGTTGTGAGGGAGTACTGGTTGGGGGGTACTCACTGGGCGTGGTGGAGGCGCTAGGCGAGGTCTTTGAGGAGGGTGAGTGGTCCACAGACACGGGCTGCCGGGCGTCTTTGGACAGCAGGTCGTGGATGCTGGTCCGACGTGTGGAGCCCTCGGCTGTGGAGATGACGCTGCTGGCCCGGGGCAGCGTGGAGGAGGAGATGTCCAGACGCTCAGACACAGACATGGCTTTACTCTGGGAGGAGAGGCTGACCCGGGGCTGGACCGTGCCCTTCACACGCGTACTCTCTGCCTTCCGTAGACTGGGACGACCTGGTTGGTCACCCCGGGGGGGACGGCCAACTGAGTTCACTGGCGCTGCCTTCCCACTGGCTGAGCGCAGGATGCCCCGCCCCTTAGTGCCGGTGCAGGATGTGGAGCCTCGCTCAGCCCGGTCCCTCTGCACATACTCAGTGCCTCCAGAGAGGCGGGGAGACTCAACGGTCAGATTCTCTTGGCTGCCAGACTGGAGATGGAGAAGAGACATTAAAGTTGCCATACCATGATATTACCTGGGCTTTATAGCAGACCTGATTGGTGAAATAACTTCTACTTGTTTCTTATCATAGCACATCTGAAGCCTATGAATAAAACGGTACTATCCCAAAATTGTGTAGTGGTCCTCTGTAGCTCAATTGGTAGAGCATGGCGCTTGTAACGCCAGGGTAGTAGGTTCGATCCCCGGGACCACCCATTCGTAAAAATGTATGCACACATGACTGTAAGTCGCTTTGGATAAAAGCGTCTGCTAAATGGCATATTATATTATTATTTTATAATCTAGTGTTCCTGTGTGTTCCAGGCTGTCACCTCTGCGGGGTCGGTACTCTCCTCTAGGAACTGCTGTAGAGAGACCACTTCACTGGTGCTGCCCGAGGAGCTGCCAGTCTTCTTCCTGGCCTGTGTGGCCTGGGGGTCCAGGGACCTCCGCAGCAGCATGGGGCTCTGGTGAGAGGAGCGGGACAGGGGGTGCTGGACAGGGCTGCTCCCACTGGACCACTCCTCCTGGTCCAGACTGAGGCTGAACTCCCCACTGCTCTCACTGTGGGGCCTGCTGAGGTTTCCGTTCAATGTGCCTGAAGAGAAACAGTACTGTAGGTAAGTTATGCTCTAACGGTGTATGACTATCTCAAGTACGAACATAAGAGTATCACCCCAAGGTGATGACAGGCTCTGGATATAAAGCATAGCTCAGGAACATAGCTCTGGAACCTACTTTTTTGTGACAATGCAAATAAATAACAAATATGCAAAACCTAGCCTGGACCCTTCAGAACATACCTCAAAGAGAGGAAGCAATTCCGAAGATTTCTATATACATTTTGTTCTTCTGTTTCTTATTGTTTTAATCTATCGTGTGTGTGAATCAACAAAGGTATCGTATACAGGAGCATGGGAGAGAGGGGTGTTCTGGTTAGCGGTGTGACTGTACCTTTGGCCTCGAGTGGAGAGGAGTGGGAGTTATTATTGCTATTACTACTGATGGTCTTGATACTATGGAGGCTGGAGGGTCTTGAGGCTGGATTGGGAGACGAGGGCACACAGTTTGAGAGAGCACATCACACAGGGCAGCAGATGGTGCATGCAGGCAGGAAGGGTGGCACGGTGCCATTGCTACTCCAACAACATGCCCCATCACACAAAGGCAGTGGGGAGGGAGGGGCTCACAAACTTGAAGGGAGGAATCATCATTCAAGAGGAAGGACCTATTGTAAAACCTGACTGGAGGAAAGGAGCCTTGTGATTGACATGACCCAGAGGCCAACAGGGGAGGGGCTCAGGTGATTGAAGGGGAGGGAGAGGAGGATTGTACTAGAGGACAGGTGGGCTGTATGTGAGTGAGTGGGATGCTAACTGATAGTGGTATTGCTGTTATTAGTGGTCTTCAGGTTGGTTCAGGTTTGGTGTGGGAGGTACAGTAGTAGTATTGGGAAAGTGATGTCAGCAGGTACACTACCGGTCAAAAGTGTACCTCCCACACCAAAGCTGTCATCAAGGCAAAGGGTTGCTACATTGAAGAATCTCAAATATAAAATATATTTTGATTTGTTTAACACTTTTTTGGTTACTACATGATTCCATATGTGTTATTTCATAGTCTTGATGTCTTCACTATTATTCTACAATGTAGAAAATAGTAAAAATAAAGAAAAACCCTTGAATGAGTAGGTGTTCTAAAACTTTTGACCGGTAGTGTATGTGGCCGGTAATCATTTATAGTGGTAGAGATCTTGAGTAAAGTGGTACTTTTAGTGGTTTTATACAGATGTGTCACTTACAACAGATGCTACAGGGGACTCTACATATAGTGGATGGGTCGAGAGCAGAGGGTGAGAGCCCGAGCACTGCTAAAGACCTGCAGGCCTAGCACACTCAACACACACAACTGGCTGGGTTAACCTGCTCCCACAGATATTAGACACTACACTGGGCTACAGTGGTGCAGTTCACTAATACTGCTAGTTATGCTCAGTTTAGGAAATACTGCATTGTACTAGGCTTCCTGCTATTATATTAGTTAACTCACTAACATTCCAGAACATTAACGTAACAGAGTGCAAGTGAAACAGGCTGTCCTTGTGAAATTCATGCAATTTAAGAAAACAAGTATAATTACTGTATTACACAATGTACATGTCAGTGGGATGACATTTTAGCTAGCCAAGCGTTAACCGGAAATAGAGATAATTTGTGTGTGTGTGTGTGTGTGTTATATGTGTGTGTGAGCAGGGATATGGAGTAGGCAGAAAACCTGATCTACCAGCTAATGGAGGCAGGCAGCTTAAGACCATTTGTTAGGAGGAGTTTACGGTTAATGATAACATGCTAAATCTAGTCATTTTGGCAGATCCACTTTCTAATTGTAGCAAACTGAAATGCAGAGATATGGGCCAAGCTTCTAGCTAACGTTAGTGGGCCATCAATACATCACAGTGGCACGACATTTATACTTACTGTAGGGCTTTTTAAAATAGTGCCTTTTTTTTGGGCCATTTGATATTTAATTCCAGTAATAAACTGGTGTTAATCCCTGTGGTATATAATAGTAATGGGAGTTTCTGTCCTTAAGGTCAACAACAAAAATGTTTTTACCTTGCCCTTTGACCCCATTGGGGTCAGCTGAGGATGCTGGGACATCTTCACAGGAAGCGTTGTCTGGAGGAGAGACAAAGAAATGTGGAAATATGAGTTATGACTGGAGGGATGGAGAGACTACAAGAGAATAGGGCTTATGAGGGAAGCAAAGTCTGTGTCAGCCAATCAGAGTCAGCCAATCTTCTGAAAGCTAGAGTATGAAAAAATTAGCATGGCAGTTAACCCCCAACAACTGCTCCCCGGGGGCCGATGACGTGGACATCGTTTAAGGCAGCCCCCCGCACCTCTCTGATTCAGAGGGGTTGGGTTAAATGCGGAAGACACATTTTGGTTGAATGCATTCAGTTGTGCAACTGACTAGGTATACCCTTTCCTTTTCCCTAGATAATAGTTCACATCACCACACAGATGAGGGGGGGGATCGACTAGCGGTCCTGTAGTCTCTACCTTTGATCTTCAGGCTCCTCTTGGCCCTGCTGCCTGAAGGCAGGGTGAGGGTGGCATAGTTGATAGCGTTGGTGGAGTAGGCCATGGAGCCCAGCTCCTTCATTCGCCGGCTACTGCTGCCCCCGTTGGTCTCCACGGGCCCCTCCAGGTTCTCTGTGCTGCCCGCCCACTGACCCCCTGCCAGGGCCATGGTCTGTAGCAGGTCGTTCATAGCTGGGTTGGAGATGAAGATGAATTAGTCGATACCTCCTACCCTTATGTGGTGGGCTGACTGGCCCCAGAGGGAGGGCACAGGGAGCAGCGCTAGGCTAAGCATGCAGTGGCTGCTAAGAGTCAGAGCAGCAGCATTCAGAGATGCCCATGTTGGCATGGCATGCAAAAGAGCTGAAATGCAGCCAAACTGAAAAAAGAGAGTGACAGATAAAAGAGAAGGCAGGGAATGATATAAAGAGAAAATGAGAGAAAGAAAGAAAGAAAGAGAAAACAAGATAGAGAAAGAAAGCACTGGAAGGCTCCATTTCAATTCCTACATGGTTGCTGTGAGTGAGAGGTGGAGAGAGAGAGAGAGCAGTGTAGTTCTGCTAAGCCATGCCTGCAGCAGCACTGTAGTGAGAGAGGGGTGAGACGGCAGGCTGCGCTCACACCACAGGCAGACAGGCAGAGATATATAGATGGATGGATGGGGCCAGAGTCACACAGTGCAGGCCACACACATCCACAGACCACACCACACAGTAGAGAAAAGTAGAATGGTATACAGTACCTCGCGCCTGCACTGTCACACATATACATGGACTAGACATCGACTAAAAAGGAACTATAGCTCATCTACAGATACCACAACACTACAGCGAAAAGAACTACAGAAAAAGAACTACGGTTCACAGAACACCTCTACTCTCTACACTCACATTACCTCACATTAGTGTCATTAATCACTGAAGAGTGTTAGTTTGTTCTAATATCTACATATATTAGTTATTGTATTTCATTACTTTGACTGTACACAAATCTAACACAAACACAACAACAAAATGTGCTGTTAAGATAGATGTAGCTACTATTAGGGATATATAGTAGAGTGTTTGAGTTTTGTATTCCTAGAAAAGAAGGAAAGAAACCAGCTAGAATCTATAAGAAGAGACTCTAGGTGATGGAGGGAGGCAGGTGCAGGCCAGAGGAGGTGGAGGTAGGTGGTAGGACGCTGGGCGGGCTATTGGATGTCTTACACATTGACCGGCGGTAGATGGCCTTCTCTTTGTCTTTCTCCTTCGATCTGGTCCTCATAAAGGGCAACCTTTTCAGAGCTGTCAGTTTACAGCCAAAGCAGAGAGGGGAGAAACAGAAAGACCAGGGGATGGAGAGGAAAAGAAAGGAGGGGAAAATAGATGGATGTTAACAACGCTGAGAACCAGGGGGAGAGAACCAGGGGGAGAGAACCAGGGGGAGAGAACCAGGGTAGCGCCCTGAAGACTCAACTGGGACTGAAAACAAACACACAGAGTTACACATATATTAGTGAAAAACGCTGACATGCAAATGAGCACACAAACACAAATACTAACTGACTGTTCAAACAAAACACAAAACACCAGCTCAGTGGGATGGCTGTTAAGAGGGTTGTCACATCGAAGATGTCAGGCTGCCAACAGACAATACACACAAAACACACACATGTACATACAGTCGTGATCAAAAGTTTTGAGAATGACACAAGTATTGGTCTTCACAAAGTTCGCTGCTTCAGTGTTATGAGATATTTTTGTCAGATGTTACTATGGTATACTGAAGTATAATTGCAAGCATTCCATAAGTGTCAAAGGCTTTTATTGACAATTACATTAAGTTTATGCAAAGAGTCAATATTTGCAGTGTTGACCCTTCTTTTTCAAGACCTCTGCAATCCGCCCTGGCATGCTGTCAATTAACTTCTGGGCCACATCCTGACTGATGGCAGCCCATTCTTGCATAATCAATGCTTGGAGTTAGTTAGAATTTGTGGGTTTTTGTTTGTCCACCTGCCTCTTGAGGATCGACCACAAGTTCTCAATGGGATTAAGGTCTGGGGAGTTTCCTGGCCATGGACCCAAAATGTCAATGTTTTATTCCCCGAGCCACTTAGTTATCACTTTTGCCTTATGGCAAGGTGCTCCATCATGCTGGAAAAGGCATTGGTCGTCACCAAACTGTTCTTGGATGGTTGGGAGAAGTTGCTCTCGGAGGATGTGTTGGTACCATTATTTATTCATGGCTGTGTTCTTAGGCAAAATTGTGAGTGAGCCCACTCCCTTGGCTGAGAAGCAACCCCACACATGAATGGTCTCAGGATGCTTTACTGTTGGCATGACACAGGACTGATGGTAGCGCTCACCTTGTCTTCTCCAGACAAGGTGTTTTCCGGATGCCCCAAACAATCGGAAAGGGGATTCATCAGAGAAACTGACTTTACCCCAGTCCTCAGCAGTCCAATACCTGTACCTTTTGCAGAATATCAGTCTGTTCCTGATGTTTTTCCTGGAGAGAAGTGGCTTCTTCGCTGCCCTTCTTGACACCAGACCATCCTCCAAAAGTCTTTGCCTCACTGTGCGTGCAGATGCACTCACACCTGCCTGCTGCCATTCCTGAACAAACTCTGCACTGGTGGTGCCCCGATCCCGCAGCTGAATCAATTTTAGGAGACGGTCCTGGAGCTTGCTGGACTTTCTTGGGCACCCTGACGCCTTCTTCACCACAATGGAACCTCTCTCCTTGAAGTTCTTGATGATAAATGTTTGATTTAGGTGCAATCTTACTAGCAGCAATATCCTTGCCTGTGAAGCCCTTTTTGTGCAAAGCAATGATGACGGCACGTGTTTCCTTGCAGGTAACCATGGTTAGAACAATGATTTCAAGCACCACCCTCATTTTAAAGCTTCCAGTCTGTTATTCTAACTCAATCAGCATGACAGAGTGATCTCCAGCCTTGTCCTCGTCAACACTCTCTTAACAAGAGAATCACTGACATGATGGCAGCTGGTCCTTTTGTGGCAGGGCTGAAATGCAGTGGAAATTGTTTTTTGGGGATTCAGTTCATTTTCATGGCAAAGAGGGACTTTGCAATTAATTGAAATTCATCTGATCACTCTTCATGACATTCTGGAGTATATGCAAATTGCCATCTTCAAAACTGAGGCAGCAGACTTTGTGAAAAATTGTATTTGTGTCATTCTCAAAACCTTTGACCACGACTGTACAAGACCACACACACACACACACACACACACACACACACAGGGAGATGTTTATTAAAAGGTGCAATTAGGAGGTAAAACGATGAGACGAGGGGAACAGTGTTCACAGGGAAACAGACGATTCTGGGACACTGACTGTACAGAGACACCATTTTAGATTTCCAGCTCCAGACTGTCTGCATTTTACAGAAATAAAGAAGCTGAACTTCAGTCTTTTTTTAGACATACACTACCAGTCAACAGTTTGGACACACCTACTCATTCAAGGGTTTTTCTTTATTTTTACTATTTTCTACATTGTAGAATAATAGTGAAGACATCAAAACTATGAAATAACACATAGAATCATGTAGTAACCAAAAAGTGTTAAACAAATCCAAATATATTTTGTATTTGAGATTCTTCAAATAGCCAGCCACCCTTTGCCTTGATGACAGCTTTGCACACTCTTGGCATTCTCTCAACCAGCTTCATGAGGTAGTCACCTGGAATGCATTTCAATTAACAGGTGTGCCTTCTTAAAAGTTAATTTGTGGAATTTCTTTCCTTTTTAATGCGTTTGAGTCAATCAGTTGTGTTGTGACAAGGTAGCGGGGGTATACAGAAGATAGCCCTATTTGGTAAAATACCAAGTCCATATTATGGCAAGAACAGCTCAAATAAGCAAAGAGAAACGACAGTCCATCATTACTTTAAGACATGAAGGTCAGTCAATACGGAACATAAAAAAAAATAGTTTCTTCAAGTGCAGTTGCAAAAACCATCAAGCGCTATGATGAAACTGGCTCTCATGAAGACCGCCACGGGAATGGAAGTCCCAGAGTTACCTCTGCTGCAGAGGATAAGTTCATTAGAGTTACCAGCCTCAGAAATTGCAGCCCAAATAAATGCTTCACAGAGTTCAAGTCACAGACACATCTCAACATCAACTGTTCAGAGGGGACTGTGTGAATCAGGCCTTCATGTTCTAATTACTGCAAAGAAACCACTACTAAAGGACACCAATAAGAAGAAGAGACCTACTTGGGCCAAGAGACACGAGCAATGGACATTAGACCGGTGGAAATGTGTCCTTTGGTCTGGAGTCTTTGTGAGACGCGGTGTGGGTGAACAGATTATCTCTGCATGTGTAGTTCCCACTGTAAAGCATGTAGGGGGAGGTGTTATGGTGCTTTGCTGGTGACACTGTGTGATTTATTTAGAATTCAAGGCACACTTAACCAGCATTGCTACCACAGCATTCTGCAGCGATATGCCATCCCATCTAGTTTGGGCTTAGTGGGACTATCATTTGTTTTTCAACAGGACAATGACCCAACACACCTCCAGGCTGTGTAAGGGCTATTTGACCAAGAAGGAGAGTGATGGAGTGCTGCATCAGATGACCTGGCCTCCACAATCTCCCGACCTCAACCCAGTTGGGATGATTTGGGATGAGTCGGACCGCAGACTGAAGGAAAAGCAGACAACAAGTGCTCAGCATATGTGGGAACTCCTTCAAGACTGTTGGAAAAGCATTCCAGGTGAAGCTAGTTGAGAGAATGCCAAGAGTGTGCAAAGCTGTCATCAAGACAAAGGGTGGCTATTTGAAGAATCTCAAATATAAAATATATTTTGATTTATTTAACACTTTTTTGGTTACTACATGATTCCATATGTGTTATTTCATAGTTTTGATGTCTTCACTATTATTCTACAATGTAGAAAATAGTAAAAAATAAAGAAAAACCCTTGAATGAGTAGGTGTGTTCAAACTTTTGGCTGGTACTGTATATCATATTCAGTGCATTGGGAAAGTATTTCAGACCCCTTGACTTTTTCAAATCAAATCAAATCAAATTTTATTGGTCACATGCGCCGAATACAACAGGTGCAGACATCACAGTGAAATGCTTACTTACAGCCCTTAACCAACAGTGCATTTATTTTTAACAAAAAAGTAAAAATAAAACAACAACAAAAAAAGTGTTGAGAAAAAAAAGAGCAGAAGTAAAATAAAATAACAGTAGGGAGGCTATATATACAGGGGGGTACCGTTGCAGAGTCAATGTGCGGGGGCACCGGCTAGTTGAGGTAATATGTACATGTGGGTAGAGTTAAAGTGACTATGCATAAATAATTAACAGAGTAGCAGCAGCGTAAAAAGGATGGTGTGGGGGGGGGCAGTGCAAATAGTCCGGGTAGCCATGATTAGCTGTTTAGGAGTCTTATGGCTTGGGGGTAGAAGCTGTTGAGAAGTCTTTTGGACCTAGACTTGGCACTCCGGTACCGCTTGCCGTGCGGTAGCAGAGAGAACAGTCTATGACTAGGGTGGCTGGAGTCTTTTACAATTTTGAGGGCCTTCCTCTGACACCGCCTGGTATAGAGGTCCTGGATGGCAGGAAGCTTGGCCCCAGTGATGTACTGGGCCGTACGCACTACCCTCTGTAGTGCCTTGCGGTCGGAGGCCAAGCAGTTGCCATACCAGGCGGTGATGCAACCAGTCAGGATGCTCTCGATGGTGCAGCTGTAGAATTTTTTGAGGATCTGAGGACCCATGCCAAATCTTTTCAGTCTCCTGAGGGGGAATAGGCTTTGTCGTGCCCTCTTCACGACTGTCTTGGTGTGTTTGGACCATGATAGTTCGTTGGTGATGTGGACACCAAGGATCTTGAAGCTCTCAACCTGTTCCACTACAGCCCCGTCGATGAGAATGGGGGCGTGCTCAGTCCTCTTTTTTTTCCTGTAGTCCACAATCATCTCCTTTGTCTTGGTCACGTTGAGGGAGAGATTATTGTCCTGGCACCACACGGCCAGGTCTCTGACCTCCTCCCTATAGGCTGTCTCATCGTTGTCGGTGATCAGGCCTACCACTGTTGTGTCGTCGGCAAACTTAATGATGGTGTTGGAGTCGTGCCTGGCCATGCAGTCATGGGTGAACAGAGAGTACAGGAGGGGACTGAGCACGCACCCCTGAGGGGCCCCCGTGTTGAGGATCAGTGTGGCAGATGTGTTGTTACCTACCCTTACCACCTGGGGGAGGCCCATCAGGAAGTCCAGGATCCAGTTGCAGAGGGAGGTGTTTAGTCCCAGGATCCTTAGCTTAGTGATGATCTTAGAGGGCACTATGGTGTTGAATGCTGAGCTGTAGTCAATGAATAGCATTCTCACGTAGGTGTTCCTCTTGTCCAGGTGGGAAAGGGCAGTGTGGAGTGCAATAGAGATTGCATCATCTGTGGATCTGTTGGGGCGGTATGCAAATTGGAGTGGGTCTAGGGTTTCTGGGATAATGCTGTTGATGTGAGCCATGACCAGCCTTTCAAAGCACTTCATGGCTACAGACGTCAGTGCTACGGGTCGGTAGTCATTTAGGCAGGTTATCTTAGAGTCCTTGGGCACGGGGACTATGGTGGTCTGCTTGAAACATGTTGGTATTACAGACTCAGTCAGGGACATGTTGAAAATGTCAGTGAAGACACTTGCCAGTTGGTCAGCACATGCTCGGAGTACACGTCCTGGTAATCCGTCTGGCCCTGCGGCCTTGTGAATGTTGACCTGCTTAAAAGTCTTACTCACATCGGCTACGGAGAGCGTGATCACATAGTCATCCGGAACAGCTGGTGCTCTCATGCATGCTTCAGTGTTGCTTGCCTCGAAGCGAGCATAGAAGTGGTTTAGCTCGTCTGGTAGGCTTGTGTCACTGGGCAGCTCACGGCTGTGCTTCCCTTTGTAGTCTGTAATAGTTTTCAAGCCCTGCCACATCCGACGAGCGTCAGAGCCAGTGTAGTACGATTCAATCTTAGTCCTGTATTGACTCTTTGCCTGTTTGATGGTTCGTCGGAGGGCATAGCGGGATTTCTTATAAGCGTCCGGGTTAGAGTCCCGTTCCTTGAAAGCGGCAGCTCTACCCTTTAGCTCAGTGCGGATGTTTCCTGTAATCCATGGCTTCTGGTTGGGGTATGTACGTACGGTCACTGTGGGGACGACATCATCGATGCACTTATTGATGAAGCCAGTGACTGATGTGGTGTACTCCTCAATGCTGTCTGAAGAATCCCGGAACATGTTCCAGTCTGTGCTAGCAAAACAGTCCTGTAGCTTAGCATCTGCGTCATCTGACCACTTTTTTATTAACCGAGTCACTGGTGCTTCCTTTTTCCACATTTAGTTACGTTACAGCCTTATTCCTAAATGGATTAAATAGTTGTTTCCCCCCTCATCAATCTACCCACAATACCCCATAATGACAAAGCAAAAACAGAAACAGGTTTAGACATTTTTGCACATTTATTAAGAATTTAAAACGTAAATATCACATTTACATAAGTATTCAGACCCTTTTACTCAGTACTTTGTTGAAGCACCTTTGGCAGCGATTACAGCCTCAAGTCTTCTTGGGTATGACGCTACAAGCTAGGCACACCTGTATTTGGGGAGTTTCTCCCAATCTTTTCTGCAGATCCTCTCAAGTTCTGTCAGGTTGGATGGGGAGCATCGCTGCACAGCTATTTTCAGGTCTCTAAAGATATGTTAGATCGGGTTCAAGTCCGGGCTCTGGTTGGGCTACTCAAGGACATTCAGAGACTTGTCCCGAAGCCACTCCTGCATTGTCTTGGCTGTGTGCTTAGGGTCGTTGTCCTGTTGGAAGGTGAACCTTCCCCCCAGTCTGAGGTCCTGAGCACTCTGGAGCAGGTTTCCATCAAGGATCTCTCTTTGCTCCGTTCATCTTTCCCTCGATCCTTACTAGTCTCCCAGTCCCTGCCGCTGAAAAACATCCCCACAACATGATGCTGCCACCACCATGCTTCACCGTAGGGATGGTGCCAGGTTTCATCCAGACATAACGCTTGGCATTCAGGCCAAATATAGTTCAATATTGGTTACCTCATACCAGAGAATCTTCTTTCTCACGATCTGAGAATCTTTAGGTACATTTGGCAAACTCCAAGCGGGCTGTCATGTGCCTTTTACTGAGGAGTGGCTTCCGTCTGGCCACTCTACCATTAAGGCCTGATTGGTGTAGTGCTGCAGAGATGGTTGTCCTTCTGGAAGGTTCTCCACAGAGGACGTCTAGAGCTCTGTCAGAGTGACCATCAAGTTCTTGGTCACCTCCCTAACCAAGGCCCTTCTCCCCCGATTGGTCAGTTTGGCCGGGGGGGGGGGCAGCTCTATGAAGAGTCTTGGTGGTTCCAAACTTCTTTGGGACCTTATATAAACAGGTGTGTGCATTTCCAAATGATGTCCAATCAATTGAATTTACCACAGGTGGACTCCAATCAAATTGTAGAAACATCTCAAGGATGATCAATGGTAACAGGATGCACCTGAGCTAAATTTCGAGTCTCATAGCAAGGGGTCTGAATACTTATGTAAATAATGTATTTGTGTTTTTTATTTTAAATAAATTAGCACAAATGTCTAAAAACCTGTTTTTGCTTCATCATTATGGGGTATTGTGTGTAGATTGATGAGGACATTTTTTTATTTAATTCATTTTAGAATAAGACTAACGTAACAAAATGTGAAAAAAGGGGTCTGAATAGTTTCCGAATGCACTGTAAATGCTATTTATTATAGCTATTCAAAGAAATCAAATGGTTACATAAAAGGTTGTCTTTAGTATAGTTGAAGAAAAAAATATTTGATAGCTTGTGCATTGAGCACAGGTGACCCATAATGCATTGCACCTTTTAATAGGTATGGACATTGACTGAAGGATGAGTTACGACACGTCATGTTGACATGCCCTGAGTGACAGGACAGCTTGACTACAAGCCGCGCCCAACCCTCCCCTCTTAGCATACCATTAGAGGAACCCTGGTTACCCTGCACATGGAAATGCAGCACTCTCTGAGAGTCTCTCTTCCCTTTTGCACAGAGAGAGAAAAACAAGCACTGCAAGCGTTAGGCCCACACAACCAACCACCACACAGCAACAAGCATCTACTGCACGGCATACCTCACCGTCTGCAACTGACCCCTGCTCATTCTTCATTTCCTGACTGAATCTGACCCTGCTCATGTTCTAGTGTCAGCCTGTACTTTCCTATCTGACCCAGTGTACTTTGGTCTCTCTGTGTGGATCATATTTCCTGTGTCTGCCGTTCTGAACGTGCATTTCCTGTGTCTAAGCCTGCATGTATTTATTAATACAATTCATCTATTAATATGTACTCTGCTTCCCGTGTCTTATTTAGCTAATATGTGATCTAGTCCTTATTCCTGTGTGTCAGTCCCTCTGGTCAATTGTACTGAGTGAGAGGAAGACCTAGTCTTAGACTGCCTGGTCAGTAGCAGACTCTCTTTTTAAAAGTATATTGCTTCCTTCTATTGTGTTTATTTTACTGTAAAGTATATTGATGTGTTTTAATTGCACTTCAAATAAGGCTTGATTTTATCTGTTCAGTAGGGAGTATTCCATGCAGGCCTGAGAGTGTGTCTACTCACTGCTGCTTCTCTTGTGTGTCAGTGTGTCATCCAGGGAGTTGGAGCCAGAGCCTATGGAGGAGGAGTCCTGGCTGTCCAGAGGAAGCCCCAGGAAGCCGTCGCTGGACTCAGAGCGTGTGGGCGTCAGCGTCAGGGAACGCATCCGCTCCCGACTCCTCGGCTTGATCAGTTTCTTCATCTTCAGGGTGATCCAGTTCCCCCGTCTGACACAAGAGCAAGAGAGTGGAGGGGAGTGAGGGGAGGGAGAGAGAGAGAAAGGAGGGAGAGAGTGACAGGAGGGAGAGAGAGAGAAAGGAGGGAAGCGAGGGGAGGGAGAGAGAGTGGGGAGGGAGAGAGGGGGAGGGGGAGGAGGAGGGGTTTGTTATTTGAGGTCGATTATTTGACTCTGGGTAGTGTTCAGTAGGCAGGAAAGGGGGGGAATGTTTTGAAATGAAGGAAATGCATTTAGTTTGATTTCCCATTTCATGCCTATTTAACCAGGGGTTTTCCAGCATCTGGGGTGTTCTTGTAACCACAGCATACCAATTCCCCAGAGACAGCCTTAATCTACAGCTATGAGGATGTTGGTTAGGCATAAATATGAACCAGAGCTGCCTGGTTAGGTAGAAAGTTCAACCATACGCAGGGGTTGATTAGGTTCAGATGTAAACCATATGCATTTAGTCAGGGACGGAAATGAATCAGAACTGAATGGTTAGGCATAGTGCAGTCGATTAGGTACTAGAATGAACCCTAACCAGACGACTGCAGCAATCTACTGCAGTTATACATTTCATTTTCATGTGGGGGATGTCTGCTTTGTCTCAGCCATGGACAGGACATGATGTACTGCAGCATACCTGAGTCTGGCTACAGCACCAACCACAGTGACAGCAGTGAGTGGACTCCTCCTAGCTACTTACCTCCGTGGAGGTGAGGGGTCGTAGAACTTATACTGATCCATGATCTTCTCCTCCAGCTTCTCCTTCTGTCTCCTCAACTCGTTCAGCTTGTCTCTGAAGGAGGGAAGACCAGTTAGGGACAAATTACATCATAGCCAAGAAACAGACATTTCTCCTATTGACATGTTTAACACCGGTTACAGGGTTGCAAAATATAATAGTGTGGGGGGGGGGGGGGGGGGGGGGGGAATCATCTCTCACATGTACAGTCTCTGTTCTACATGGTACAGGTCCTTGCTCTCCATGGTCTGTTCTAGAAGGGTGCGGTTCTGCAGCATCAGGGTCTGGATCTGGTCCAGCAGGTGTCGGTTCTCCTCCTCCAGGTTCCCCTTCAACTGGCTCAGCAACTAGGGAGAGAGAAATAATAACATTTTGTTACCTCAATTTTCAATGGAAATGCTTATTGAGCAAGTTTCCAAGTTTCTTTTACATGGTTGTATGTATTACTGCATGTGGGCTGTGCCTTTTACAGGGTGTGAATACTTGTCTGACACTCTTTAAGCCTCACAGAGCACAGTGTTGAGAAACCAGCTGTGTATCCCCAGGCACATCTACTCTATCAGCCATCCTTTCCTACAGACAGATCAGGCAAACACTCATGTCTGGACAGAGGCCACACATCAGCTATGAACACTTCCATAACATGGGGGCATATTTACCAAGAGTTACCTGTGATAGAGTTGGGAAATACACTGCTCAAAAAATGTAAGGGAACACTAAAATAACACATCCTAGATCTGAATGAATGAAATAATCTTATTAAATACTTTTTTCTTTACATAGTTGAATGTGCTGACAACAAAATCACACAAAAATTATGAATGGAAATCAAATTTATCAACCCATGGATGTCTGGATTTGGAGTCACCCTCAAAATTAAAGTGGAAAACCACACTACAGGCTTATCCAACTTTGATGTAATGTCCTTAAAGCAAGTCAAAATTAGGCTCAGTAGTGTGTGTGGCCTCCACGTGCCTGTATGACCTCCCTACAACGCCTGGGCATGCTCCTGATGAGGTGGCGGATGGTCTCATGAGGGATCTCCTCCCAGACCTGGACTAAAGTATCCGCCAACTCCTGGACAGTCTGTGGTGCAACGTGGCGTTGGTGGATGGAGCAAGACATGATGTCCCAGATGTGCTCAATTGGATTCAGGTCTGGGGAACGGGCGGGCCAGTCCATAGCATCAATGCCTTCCTCTTGCAGGAACTGCTGACACACTCCAGCCACATGAGGTCTAGCATTGTCTTGCATTAGGAGGAACCCAGGGCCAACCGCACCAGCATATGGTCTCACAAGGGGTCTGAGGATCTCATCTCGATACCTAATGGCAGTCAGGCTACCTCTGGCGAGCACATGGAGGGCTGTGCGGCCCCCAAAGAAATTCCACCCCACACCATGACTGACCCACCGCCAAACCGGTCATGCTGGAGGATGTTGCAGGCAGCAGAACGTTCTCCACGGCGTCTCCAGACTCTGTCACGTCTGTCACATGTGCTCAGTGTGAACCTGCTTTCATCTGTGAAGAGCACAGGGCGCCAGTGGCGAATTTGCCAATCTTGGTGTTCTCTGGCAAATGCCAAACGTCCTGCACGGTGTTGGGCTGTAAGCCCAACCCCCACCTGTGGATGTCGGGCCCTCATACCACCCTCATGGAGTCTGTTTCTGACCGTTTGAGCAGACACATGCACATTTGTGGCCTGCTGGAGGTCATTTTGCAGGGCTCTGGCAGTGCTCCTCCTGCTCCTCCTTGCACAAAGGCGGAGGTAGCAGTCCTGCTGCTGGGTTGTTGCCCTCCTACGGCCTCCTCCACGTCTCCTGATGTACTGGCCTGTCTCCTGGTAGCGCCTCCATGCTCTGGACACTACGCTGACAGACACAGCAAACCTTCTTGCCACAGTTCGCATTGATGTGCCATCCTGGATGAGCTGCACGACCTGAGCCACTTGTGTGGGTTGTAGACTCCGTCTCATGCTACCACTAGAGTGAAAGCACCGCCAGCATTCAAAAGTGACCAAAACATCAGCCAGGAAGCATAGGAACTGAGAAGTGGTCTGTGGTCACCACCTGCAAAACCAGTCCTTTATTGGGGGTGTCTTGCTAATTGCCTATAATTTCCACCTGTTGTCTATTCCATTTGCACAACAGCATGTGAAATGTATTGTCAATCAGTGTTGCTTCCTAAGTGGACAGTTTGATTTCACAGAAGTGTGATTGACTTGGAGTTACATTGTGTTGTTTAAGTGTTCCCTTTATTTTTTTGAGCAGTGTATGTGGAACATGCAAATTACAATCTAGTCGGTCTGTGGGAAGGTGGTGCCGATATTGTAGTTCCTCACACTGGTTGGTGAGTGGTAGGTAGAGAAGTGGGTTTGAGGAGTATGTAACCGTACCTCACACTGGTTAGTGAGCTTGGTGGAGGTGATGTCCAGCTGTTGGTACTGCTCTTTGAGTTTGGAGAACTCCGCCTCCAGGCGGGTCTGTTCCAGTTTGGCACCGTTCATCTGGCTCTTCAGGTTCTTATGGTCGGCCTGCAGTCCCTCATTATCCTTCACCAGCTGGCGGTGTGCCATGTTCAGCCTACACACAGAGACATCATAATGGGTTTCAAACAGCACATTCTTTACTCATAGTCCCTGGCACATGTCAAACCGTGGTTTGAGGGAGAGACCTTTATGAAAGAAGGGGAAAATACACTAATTAACATTTCATTTGGAAAATAACAGCTAAATGGTTAGTTCTCTAATTGTAACCAACCACTTAAAATGTCTGCATGCTGCCACTCAAAACATGCAGACTTTCTTTTCCCTCGCTCTCTAAAAATCTTGTTGCACAGGTTTCTCTGCACCTGGACTGACAGTTAAGGGATGTTCCCTGCACCCCAAAGTAAACCTCAGGGCACATCCTCCTCCCCCTCGGTTCCTTATACATACGGTATTCAGTTTAACCCTGAAGCACTCACCTTTCATTCTCCTCCTTCAGTTTGTGGTAGTCTGCAGCAGTGGTCTTGTGGCTCTTGTTCTCAGACAGCATCTTCTCCTGCTGTGCCTTCAGCTGTTTCTCCAGCTCCTCCAGCTGATCCTTCTGCCTCAGCAGCTGGTTATACCTGTAAATACAGTACTACCTGTTAGTGAACAGCAGCTGTGCGTTTATGCGCGTCTCTGACTTGAGTGCTGTGTATTGGTAGAGTGGAGGTGAATGCATAGTAAGACTGTCGTGCATGTGTGTGTTTGGCCGTGTGGTTAAGTAAGTGATGGTATGCCAGCTGTGCTACAGTATGCTGTAAGCACATAACAGCCCCAGTAGAAACCCCACCTGTCCTCCAGGTCTCTGTGCTGTGACTCCAGGCTCTTGTGGGCACTCTTCAGGCCTCCATGTTTGCCGATGAGGCCCTCGTATTCGGAGGCCTGTCTCTCATGCAGGGCAGCCAGCTTCTCATGGTCCCTTAGCAGCATCTCATAGGTGGACCTCAGGTCCTCCCTCTCCCTCACCGCCCCCTCCTTCTCGTTCTCCGTGCTGGACTGCTGCGTTGCCAGTTGGGCATTCTGGGTCATGAGAGCGCCACTCTGGGAGTTCAGTGTTGAATTCTCAACCTAGGGGGGTAAACAAGACTTCTGATTAGATGATCTGAGCAGTCTGAACTCAGTCAATCAGAAATGCCCTTAACTATAACTGTTTCTTCAAGGGTTTTGTCATGTCCTGCTAGGAATAGCATTGGATTCGATTAACTGATTATGTGAAAACCAGTGTAAGAACCCCATAAAATAATTTGAATAGATGTAGGTGTCACTTCTGAGCAACAGGGGGCACTGTGTACACAGCCAGCCCGTCCCTCCAGTCCACTCCGATGGTTGAGACGTTGCATGTCCTAGACATCAGTGGTCAAATGTTTTTTTGCCAGTACAAATCACAAGCACAGACATGTTCAAAGTTGTAATTAGTTTTGGCTTGCAGCAGAATGCAGCCGAATCTTGTTCTGATGTAGATTTTACAACCCAAGATTTTGTTGAACCGCTGCCATAAAATAAATCAAAATAGATGTTGTGGAGGGGAATTATCTCTAGTCACTGGGCAGAGTGGAGAAGAGACATGCTTGAAGAGGGTTTAAACTAGAATACAGGCTATAGATGCAGTGTAGACAAGGCCAGAAAATAGGGTTCAGGGCACAGCAGTGAGGGAGCAACAGAGGGAACCTGTAGTTTGGCGTTCTGGGTCTGTAGTGTGGTGTTGTTCTCCTGTAGAGATGCAGTCTGTCTCTGCAGAGCCAGAATCTGGGCCTGCAGGTTACTGCTCTGGGTCTCCAGCTGCTTCAGGTTGGTATGCAGGGCCTGCTTCTCTGCCTGGAGGGTGGCGTTCTGTAGATGGTGTACAGACAGACAGACAAGATATACACATGCATTAATTATATGTAGAGACCCTTCACAGTGACATCACTGTCACATGCTGTATCTAAGACGGCTCTTTTGAGTTGTTGATTAGATGGAGTGTACTCACATTCCTCTCCACCTCGATGAGGCGGTCTTTGACCTTGAGCAGTTCCCGGGTGGTCTCGTGGCTCTCCTTCTCCCACTTGTTGACGGCCTGAGAGTCCTCCCTGTCCCCTCCTCTGGGGGGCGAGCTCTGCACCATCCTCTCCTCCTCCTCCTCCCTCTGTCGCAGGGCCTCATAGTTCTTCTTCACCTGGAAAGGTCAAAGGTAAAAGGGTTAAACCTCCATCCCCCAAAACCTTCCAAAAATATACCTATGCTAACATTGTTCTCTGTTCTGGCACCCCAGCGGCAAGGGTTGTAGTTTTCGAGTTGAACAACGTGCATCGGAGACTATTATCTGTGTTTTCCAGACTCCTGGTACCTCATGAATAAATAACACAATGAATAAATAATAAATGGCCTCTGACAAGCATTTCAGCATTTCTCTGAGTCATGTGTTAAATAACATAACACAGAATCTCCAGGATAAAGTTTTGGTCCTCTGGGCTGCTGTACTGTATTGTTTGGGAACTCACAGTTTTGAGCTCCTGGCGCAGTTGTTGGTTGAGGTTGGAGGACTCCTGCAGTCTAGCCTCCAAGGCAGCTATCTTCTCCTCCTTGATCTCCAGAGAAGACTTGAGAGTGGACTCTAGCTTGAACTCCAGCAGCTTGTACCTGCAGATAAGGGACATTCACAATCATTAAAGACCAAGGATCTTTCCTGGAAAGAATTCAAGTCTTGACACTATATTGATGGCAGAGTGCCTACTATGAACCTTGATTGGTGTGTGTGTGTGTGTGTGTTACCTGTCATTGTCAGAGCTCTGCTCGGCCTGCAGCAGCCTCTCCTTGTTGAGGCCTATCTTCTCCAGCTCGTGGGTCAGTTTCTCCAGGTCATTGTTCATCTGCTGATTCCGCAGTTTCTCACTCACCAGTTCCTGGAACATCAAACGCCAACCCAGAGTCACTCTACATTTATAATCCCTACAGCTCAATCCTTTATTAATGAATAATATAATCTTATGGAGCACAGTGGAGTTCCAAGTTTGAGAAAAAGTGTTGACATAGTGCTCTGGTTCTATTACTTCTTGCATAATGCAGGTGCAATGACTATAACAGAACTTTATCGATCATCTAAATGCACATTTGAAGACCTATGGGCATTCACCCAATGCATTACCATTACAATACATCTCCTAACATTACAACATGCCTCTCTAAGTTAGTAGCTACATCATTACCTCTCGCAGAGTGACCAGGGTCTTCTTATCGATGGTGGCCTGTTTGACCAGCTCCTTGTTCTCCTTCTCCAGGTCTTTGAGGCGGTTGCAGGAGTCCTTGAAGGAGGTCATCTCCTTGCCCAGCGAGCGGTTCTCCTTCTCCAGGTGGCTGATCCTCAGGTTGTCCTCATCCATCTTGGAGTCCCTGATCTCTGCCTGCTGTCTCAGCCTCTTGTTCTCCTTCTCCAGCTGCTTCTTGTCCTTCTCCAGCTGAGAGCTCTCCTGCTCCAGAGTCTTATTCTCCTGCTCCAGCTGCTCCAGACGTTTGCTGGAGATCTTCAGTTCCTCCAGGCTCCTCTGCAGGCTCTGGTTCTCCTGCTCCACGTCCTGCAGCTCCCCCTCTAGCTGCTGGATCTTGCGGCTGCTGTTCTCTAGGGATTTCTGCAGCCGCTGGTTCTCCGTGTCCAGGCCCTGGTAGCTCACCTCCAGCCTCTCCGTCTTCCTGGAGGAGGCTTTGAGCAGCTCCAGGCTCCTCTTCAGTTGGCTCCTCTCGCTCTCCAGCTCACGGTTCTCAAGTTCCAGCTGAGCCGCCTTGTTCCCGGCCGAGCGGAGCGCCTCGGCAGCCCTGCGGAGCTTCAGGTTCTCCTCGTCAAGCTGGGCGTTCTCCTTCTCCAGGGCCTCCAGCTGGAAGGAGGTGCTCCGCAGGCCTTCCACGTTCTTCTTCAGACGACGGCCCTCAGCCTCCAGCTCTGCGTTCTCCTTCTCCAGAGACGCCACCTGATGATTTGGGAGAATATGGGAAAATGTATCAATAAATAACTTATTCTCATTCAAAGTCCAATCTACTGTATATGATGGGAGTTGCACAACAAAGTAAGGAATATGTGACTCCATTGGCACAAGATAGACAGCAGGAACACAGACAACTAGAAGTGAACTATACAGCCACCAATGCATGCAGAGGCAGACCTTGTCACAGGCGATGCCCAGACTGGCTACTCGTTTCTGCAGGGCTTCGTTCTCCCTCTCCAGCCGCTGCGCCTCCACCTCCAGCTCCTCCGCCCTCTCGCCCTTCTCCTTGTACACCGCCAGGTCCTTACGCAGCTGCTTACGCTCAAACTCCAGCTTGTTGAGTTTGGAGCTAGTCTCCCGGATGGACTCGTGTAGCACGCGGTTCTCCTTCTCCACGTCTTTGACCCGCGCCTCAGGGCCCACCTGGGAGCGTTGCCTCAGCGACGAGACAGTCTGGGTCAGGTGCTCGTTCTCCTGCTCCAGGCCTTTCACCTGGGACACGACATAGAGGACGTCAGAGTGGCGGTACGGTAGATCAACTCAAGTCATGTTTCAGTTTGGGGTTAATATGAAAAGAGCCCTGAGTTTTTCCTGAATATGGTAAACTCGTCCATGAAAAACTCTGTGCTCTAAGAAGACTATACCTAGGGTCCTGAATTCTTCCTAGTCAGGTCGAGTGGTCAGGAAAAACTCCTGGCCCTAGTTCTCAACGCTGTGGTGTACTGTAGGTTCAACAGAGATCTGGCTTGTGTCCATGTCTTCTCACTGTAAACATCATCAATCTAAACACCCTGTGTCCGTGACCTCATTAGATTCGGTCTGCTTTTCATTACCCCCCAAGCCACACAGAGCTCTCCAACTAGTTGGGAGAATGAGAGCACAAAGACTGCTCTCTCCTAAGAAAACTCCATCCCGATACACAATAAGTAGCTAGTAATGTCGTTTGGAGACTCTTGGAACCAGACCAGATCAAAACAAATCCAGTCCCTCGATCCACCTAAAAATGTCTGTTTTGTATTTAGAGCATAGACGTGCGTGGCTGTGTGCGACTGTAGGCGTAACTGTGTGTCTGTGTGAGTACCTGTCTCTCCGAGTTCTCCCTCAGTGTCTCCAGGGTTTTCTCCAGCAGAGACTTCTCCTTCATCAGATCGGTGCCGAGGCTCTCTGCACTGTGCAGACTCTCCCTGTCTGTGTTCAGCGCACTCTCCAGCTGCTCCAACTGCAGGCACACACAGGACACACACTGTTACCATGGCACCCAGTCACTTAGATCACAGACACAATCCGAGTGTGCAGTACAGGCAGGTCTACCACACCTTTACCCATCACAGTTGGGCACCATTCTATTGTGATTCGATCACTTTTAAATTGAAGAGCCTGTTTTTGAATTTTAATTTGCAAAAATAAAACTGAATTGATGCTGATTATGTTATTTATATTTATCTAATCACAGTGGCAGTGTTGTAACACATGCCCTTTATTAAAGGGACTCGTAGGCAGGTCCATATAAAGCCCTTCTGATGAATCTTGCACAAGCCTTGGTTTGTGCGAGCCAGAACGGCTCATAGGAGCAGGAGTCTATCTCCTGTTTCTGTAGCGTGAGGCAGCTTGATGTACAAGTACACACCCTGGATAGGATGCTAGTCTATTGCAGGGCCTTACCCCCAATCCATCTCCTTAATGCTGAGTGCCAAGCAGAGATGCATCAGGTCCCATTTTTTATAGTCTTTGGTATGACTCGGGCGGGAATCGAACTCCCAACCTTCCAATCTCAGGGCAGACACTAACCACAAGGCCACAGAGTTGATGAACATTGGTTCCATTCTCTGTTGTCTGACTGCACTAGCTAATTACCACTCACTTCACTCAAACCCTCTACAAACGGCAGGGGGCTGAATTATCTACAAATAAAAGCCTTTCACTGTGGCTGTTTCATCCTCTATTCTCTCCCTCTGCCTCTCCTGCTCAATACATAACGCACTAACGCTGCAGCACCAACAGCAACTACAAGCGTCCTGTATACACACACACACACACACACACACCACACTTGCAGGGTAAACTCTTCAAAAGGCAGGCTGATTATTACTAATCATATCAGAGCTATCCCACAAGCACCTAATTCTGTCAAAGCAGCTTAACTCAAAACTGCCTACTTATTGCCTGTCTACAGGCAGCAAGTTAAACGGCTGTTAATGTACAATTCACTTTAAAAATGGGCTCTTATAATGACCGATCCAGTGGTGCTGCCTAATTCAGTCTTTGTGTGAGAAAGGCACATTTCATGCATTCTATGCGGAGAGCACAGAGAAGGCTTAAGTGTCTGAAAATAGCAGAGAGTTAGCTTACGGAGGGGCCTTCAAGCGTCAAGGCTGAGAGAGAATAGGAAATGGTCTTCAAGATTTACTCTGTTCTTTCTACTCCCTCTGGTGTCATGGAGCTAAGAGGCCTGAAAGCCAAGTCCTGGGGTGAAATATAGGGGGCTGGACCAAGATGCTACAGTAGGGGTAAAGAGCAAGCAGCCATTGTTATGTTGTTGATACATAAGGAGCCAGTGTTGGGTGGGCTAGAGAAGGGGAAATGTTCAGGAAGCAAGTGAGTGGACTTCAGTATATATTCTATACAAGTATAAAAGCTGCTCTGACCCTCTGGGTGAGCCTCTGGTTCTCCTTGTCGGCCTTGAGGAGACGTGCGGGGGCGTCTTTGCTGGCAGAGCCCCTCAGCTCCTCCACAGTCTTCAGCAGGGTCTGGTTCTCCTTCTCCAGCTTCAGCAGCCGGCTGGACGTCAGCTCATTTACCTCGTGGCCCAGGGACTTCTGAGGCACTGCACAATGAAACCAACCCTATGTTAGGCACACAACAACATACTGTATGCAGATGCTACAGGTTCTGTTATAGTGGTAGGAAGTCCCCCCAACGGATGAGGAAGTATAGAATATCCCTAACTGTAGTTACTGAGGAAACAACAGGGTTTATCCTGATCCAAAACCAGTTAACCCCATTAACATTGTTCCAAATCCAGGCCGGTGCTAATCTGGGACTTGGAGTCATTGAATATTAATTACAGGAGTTAGTCATGTGTAAATAAACCCAGTCCAATCTGTTGTCTGTGTATGAAGGACCAAAGCCAGGGCCGGGGTTGGAGCCAGAGCCCCAGTGCTGAGGGCTGCTGCTCCAGGCTGCTCACCCTCTGTCAGGTCAGGGGTCATGGAGAGCTGCTGTAGTTCCCACCCTAGGTGGAGAGACTCGTCCATGCTCTGTTTCTGGGCCATCTCCAGGACCAGGTTCTCCTCTAGAAGCTCCTCAATACGCTTCCTGTCCATGTCCCGGTCCTAAAGAACACACAGACAGACAACATACACATAACATACTGTCAGACGACTCCACAAATGGTAAGCCCTACAGTATAGTATGGGCATTCTTCAGAGATGACCTACAAGATGGTTCCATAAAAAGAGAGTGCAAAATCAGTCATACCACCATGTCTGTTTGATTCCCTAACCCTAATCCCACACATAAAACACACTAACTTTTCCTCTGTCCCTCACCATTTCCATGTCGTGGATCTTGGATTTGAGCTGCAGGCTCTCCTTCTCCAGCTCGTGGAGTTTGTCAGAGCGAGCCCTGGTTCCTACCAGCTGGTCCTCCAGCATGGCCTTGGTCTCCAGCAGAACCTGATTGTCCTCCTTCAGCTCCTGTAGGGCCCAGCAGATATCACACACACGTCAACCACAGCCATATCACTACTACCATCCCCACTACCACGCATTCAACCAACATTGGGACAACAAGTCAATACATTTATGTTACACCCAATGAATGCTTCATTGACACTCCAAGCTTGTTGGGTGCTATTTCTCTGTTTTGGCGTACCTCTACTCTAGCTTTATAGAACTCAATGTCGTAGAGCCTCTCCTTGTACCGTCCCACTTCACTCTCCAGCTTGTCCACTCTGACGGCCTTCTCCCTCAGAGCGTCCAGCTCGTCACGATAGGCCCTGGCAGAACGCGCGTCCGACAACAATTGCAGGCTCTGGAGGGGACAAACAAAACACTTAATGTCAGTGTCACACACATATACGATTTTTGTTTCACACAGACTCCCACTATATATACATGCATTGCACCAGGCATAATTCATATTGGTAAACAAACACACACGCAGGGGTAGACACCGTGGACTGTGTCGGTAGACACCGTGGACTGTATCGGTAGACACCGTGGACTGTATCGGTAGACACCATATAGGTAGACACACATGACAGTCATACACAGAGACAGGCTGAAGCTCCTCTTAGTCAATAGTGTCATGAGTCAGTCATCTTCTCTGAAAGAGAGATTTGAAATGACCACACACACAATAATAAGCACCTCTGCCATGTTGTTGTGGTGGACCCTACTCCCTAGCGCTGCAAATTATGTTTACAACAAAGACTATAAATAAAAGAACATCTTTGTCTACATCTAAGGGGTTAGCCAAGCTATAGATAGCTCAGCCACTAATTGGCTAAGGGCATTAACCTAATGATTAAGAATTTAAAACAGAAGGTGGTGGCGATGGTTTGATGTGTTGTATAACTCTGAGGGCAGTCAGGACACCACAGGTGACATGAGGTCTTATGGGTGGAGCTTTTGTCTAGTGGTCTGGGCCAGCTTTGTGTGGCAGGCTTGTAAAGCTGGACTGATGCCTGGCATAGCTCAGCAGCACGGTTAGTGTGTCGTTTATGTTGTGAAAGTGTGTAGCTGGAGTTCAGGAGCGACACGTTGGTCCAAGGCAGATAGATAGTGTGTATTAAGTAGCGTAATGCTGGTGCTAAGTCGTGTGATGTGACGTGGTTTGGGAGCTCTGTCTGACATCAGCTGTAATTGACTCCTGCTGTTTACATTCTGTGGCACACTAGTGAGGCATCAGTCTGCTCTGGGGTTGGACGGTAATGTGATGGTCTATATGTTGTGCTAGTTTCATCTGTCCAATGCTGAGTTACAGGGGAGAGAAAGGGGGATGAATGAGCCAATTGGAAGCTAGGGATGATTAGGTGGCCATGATGGTATGAGGGCCAGATTGGGAATTTAGCCAGGACACTGGGGTTAACACCCCTACTCTTACGACAAGTGCCATGGGATATTTAGTGACCACAGTCAGGTCACGCGTTTAACATCCCATCCGAAAGACGGCACCCTACACAGGGAAATGTCCCCAATCACTGCCCTGGGGCATTGAGATATTTATTTAGACCAGAGGAAGGAGCACCTCCTACTGGCCCTCCAACACCACTTCCAGCAGCATCTGGTCTCCCATCCAGAGATGGACCAGGACCAACCCTGCTTAGCTTCAGAGGCAAGCCAGCAGTGGGATGCAGGGTGGTATACTGCTGTTCTGTATTGCTCTGTGCTGTATTGAGTTGTTCTGTATGGCTCTGTGCTGTAGTAGGTAGGTTTTGTCCTGCACCTCTTGCTGAACCCTCTTATTCTCAGTCTCCATGTTGTCCAGTTCCTGTCTGCAGTCCAGCAGCTGCTCACTCTTCTCCTCCCTGAGAGAGAGAAAGGGGGGAGGAGAGAGAGAGAGAGAGAGAGAGAGAGAGAGAGAGAGAGAGAGAGAGAGAGAGAGAAGGGGGGAGAAGAGAGAGAGGGGAGGAGAAGAGAGAGAGAGAGAGAGAGAGAGAGAGAGAGAGAGAGAAGGGGGCGGGGGGGGGGGGGTGAAAGAGAGAAAAAAGAGAGACATTGTAAAACACATTCACATTGTACGCATTTTAAAAACATCATTCCTCACAAACAAAACCATAACTTTCCCACACAAATATTTGTTTCTGTTTTCTCTATAGTTGCCTTGAGAAACTGGAATTTTTACTTAGGCTCTGTAACCATCCTTGGTTAATATAAACCAAGATGTTTACCCAGCAGATAGGAATCCATGGACCTCTTTCCTTACTGGGCCAGGTCAGCTTGTTTGCTTGTGGGTGTGTGTGGGTTGGGGGCCGGGGCCGGGGATGGGGTTAATTACCAAATTATATATAGTAGAGATTTTCAGACTTACACTACCGTTCAAAAGTTTAGGGTCACTTAGAAATGTCCTTGTTTTCTAAAGAAAAGCAAATTTTTTGTCCATTAAAATAACATCAAATTGATCAGAAATAGTGTAGACATTGTTAATGTTGTAAATGGCTTTTGTAGCTGGAAACTGCAGATTTTTTATGGAATATGTACATAGGCGTACAGAGGCCCATTATCAGCAACCATCAGTCCTGTGTTCCAATGGCACGTTGTGTTTGCTAATCCAAGTTTATCATTTTAAAAGGCTAATTGATCATTAGAAAACCCTTTTGCAATTATGTTAGCACAGCTGAAAACTGTTGTGCTGATTAAAGAAGCAATAAAACTGGCCTTCTTGAGACTAGTTGAGTATCTGGAGCATCAGCAATTGTGGGTTCGATTACAGGCTCAAAATGGCCAGAAACAAATAACTTTCTTCTGAAACTCGTCAGTCTATTCTTGTTCTGAGAAATGAAGGCCATCATCAAACTGTCTCTAACCAGAATAGAAAGAGGAGTGGGAGGCCCCGGTGCACAACTGAGCAAGAGGACAAATACATTAGTGTCTAGTTTGAGAAACAGACACCTCACAGGTCCTCAACTGGCAGCTTCATTAAATAGTACCAGCAAAACACCAGTCTCAACGTCAACAGTGAAGAGGCGACTCCGGGATGCTGACCTTCTAGGCAGAGTTGCAAAGCAAAAGCCATATCTCAGACTGGCCAATAAAAATAAAAAATTAAGATGGGCAGTCTGAGAAATTGCTTTTTCTTTGCAACTCTGCCTAAAAGGTCAGCATCCCGGAGTCGCCTCTTCACTGTTGACGTTGAGACTGGTGTTTTGCGGGTACTATTTAATGAAGCTTCCAGTTAAGGACCTGTAAGCCACCTGTTTCTCAAACTAGACACTAATGTATTTGTCCTCTTGCTCAGTTGTGCACCGGGGCCTCCCACTCCTCTTTCTATTCTGGTTAGTGACAGTTTGATGATGGCCTTCATTTCTCAGAACAAGAATAGACTGACGAGTTTCAGAAGAAAGTTATTTGTTTCTGGCCATTTTGAGCCTGTAATCGAACCCACAATTGCTGATGCTCCAGATACTCAACTAGTCTCAAGAAGGCCAGTTTTATTGCTTCTTTAAATCAGCGAAACCGTTTTCAGCTGTGCTAACATAATTGCAAAAGGGTTTTCTAATGATCAATTAGCCTTTTAAAATGATAAACTTGGATTAGCAAACACAACGTGCCATTGGAACACAGGACTGATGGTTGCTGATAATGGGCCTCTGTACACCTATGGAGATATTCCATTTTATTTATTTTTTATCAGCCGTTTCCAGCTACAATAGCCATTTACAACATTAACAATGTCTACACTGTATTTCCGATCAATTTGATGTTATTTTAAATGGACAAAAAATTGCTTTTCTTTCGAAACTTTTGAACGGTAGTGTATATCAAATGAGGATAATTCATTTTAATGTTCAATTAACAATTGAGATATCCATATATGGGTAACAGGAAGTGATAGTGTGCGAGAATGTTTTCTGTCTTTTCGATCACATGAAAACATTGACCTAGTTTGTACTTGAAAAAAACATCCAGTATACATTTTCCCTCCGAGGCAAATCATTGATCTTGAGTAGGGAAAACACTGACTTTCCTGTGTTATTTTATAACCTCAACTGTGACAGAGTAACTCTTTCCTTAGGACAACAAACATAGTTCAACTGAAAATATACAAGTTGGACCACAAAGGCAACCTACAAATGACCACAAACAACTCCCCTATGACATGCAAATATCTAACTGTAGAGCTGCCTTGCTTTTGTTCCAACAGCTCTTTGTAATCTTGCAAATCCATATAATATCTGGTTAAGTGAGTAACATGCCAATATATTCCTTTCTTCCCCCTGTCTGACTTCAGACCCCCTCAACCCAGCATGAGCAGCAAATAGATCTCAACTCACAATATCATGTTCTTCTGTTAATGGGTTTGCGCTATAGACAGGCAATGCAACTTAAATGCAATTTGAATGGCCTCCTGCTGTTTGTTTAGATGTGACACTGACACGGCTTGGGAGTAGGTTGGGGCTTTCTGAGGCTGAGGGAGGCCAGTCCTGCAGGCTGCCGGTCGGTGAGGAATGAAGAATGCGCCACAGAGCTTTGAAGAGGACTGTGCATTCCTCAAATCAGTTGAGATGCTTTCCAGTCTCCCTGGTCCATTGAATATACTTGATGATGGCCTGCCAGATTAGTGATCTCTACTGGGTCTGCTATTTGCCGGTGGGAATTCTTATCGCTGTTCTGTTCCACACTTCCTATGATGTGTATGTTGAAATCAGAGGCTGGAGCAGCTAGCTTTGAGCGTGGAATAAAACTCACGTTCTGCAGCTGTTGCTACAGCTGCTTTTGGTGAGCACAGGGTATGCACACACACACACACACACACACACACACACACACACACACACACCACACACACACACTCCCAGTGTGTACCTTGTGTGTCTGGAGTCCTTTAATCTCATCCCACAATAGATCATGTCATCAGACATTCAGCCACGCCTCAGCTGTAAAACAACTTTTCAACATCTTTCCGTTTTTTCCCCAGTTTCATTTGAACCCTACTAAAGAGAGTAGATGACAGACTAGGCTCAACACAAAGCTGCTCATCCACTGTGAACCTGTGTGGGTGACAGCACTGAGCCTGCAGCAGCTCGGAGTCACTAACAACCGTGGCACCATGGTCTACCCACATTTTACAGTCTACCATTCACATTAGACAATGCACCATACTGGAGATTGGGTCTTTAGGGGCTATTTCATAATCTATTTCTACACAATCTATTCCTGCATTCCTCTTAACACCAGGTTTCGTACTTAAGTAAAAAGCATATTTTCTAAAGATATTCTGCCGGTCACTTTAGTGTGCCCTCAGGAGTTCCTTCCCAGGCAATCAGTAAAGACAGTAGAACACAGTGGATCTCTATTTATTGGGTTCCATAGCGTGCCTTTAACAGAGAACGATCCCCTTTCCTCTAGTGTTGGTGCTCCAGAGTGAACAATGACCAGAAATCGGAGAAAAATAAGTGGAATTTAGTGCTCTTATATCAAAGACCCATAAAGAATGTCTATAATGCCCCAGCATGGAATCATCTGATCTGGGCCAAATCCCCAGACATCTGAGTCGGCATCAGGACTGGCCTGGGTGACTGGAGCAGTATGTGGTTATTTATGGCCACACGAGACTACAGTATATGCACTCCTGCAGAGAAGCAGTCTGCAGCTTCTAGGACTGACCCCATTTAGTCAACTGGTCGATTGTTTGGTCAAAAGGCTGTTGGTCGACTGAGATTTAGTAGAGCGGTCGCAAATATATTTTTAAAAAATCATGGCACATGAGACACCTGTCTGTTTGGCGCCTGTCTGTGGACTAATCCATTGGAGGCCGCGGGGATCACACATTCTAAGAAGAAGGGGAGTGTGGCTAAGATGCACAAGGCGCATCTATCTTTTGAATGCGCTCTCTCCTCCAATTTGTGCACATTCATTGTTTGATAATTTCATTGTGTGAATTGTCTGTCCTTAGTACCTATCAATTCCCCATTACATACATTAGTACATTTACCGTTAATCCCCATCATTTCTAATATACAATGTTTGTTTGGTTACAGTAATTTCTGTTAATGCATTCATTATATTACTATTACAGTCGTTTACTGTTGTCATTGTCGGAGTGGACACGTTGTCTGCAAGGCTTACAACCTATGCCACACTTGTGAGAAACAAGTTTTGGTTTATATCATTCCATTATACGAGTTTTGTCAATGTATTAATTGTATTTTGTTTGGAGCTCTCCTGTCTATGTTGAGTAAGGACGCACACCTAAACACGCATAGAAGTAGGCCAAATGTATAACTGCGCCAATGTGGGGATGTCTGATAGTATTTCTGACTGTCTTAACTCACCACCACTAGGCTATTCAGCTGTGGAGCTTCTCAGAGTATGTTTTTCTTCACCTCAAACAGCAAGTAAACAAAGTCTGTTTTGAGTATGACAATAGTTCCTCAATGTGTTTAAAAAATCTTTCCAGCTCTCTCCCTTTCGACAACCACCGAAATGTCATGCTCTGATTTTTATTTGTTGGCTTCATGTAGGCTATTTTTACCTATATGCCAATAGAAGTAACTTTTAGATTAGAATAATTTTCATTTAGATAGAATTTAGATTAACCACATGACAATGATTTGGAGATACGAAGACGTTATTATAATTGAAATTAAACTGTTCCACGAAATTGTGCATATGAAAATCATAACTGGCACGCAGATCGAAAGAAATGGTAAGATCAATTGTAAATTGGCATGCCACATGAAAAAGGTTGCCGACCCCTGGTGTAGCCTATCACCAGCAACTTCAGTGTAACGGCAGAATCTGCGAAGGTCAGCAGCACCGGGAGGATCTAACACCGTTTTTTTCTTCTGGTTATCTTGAGGTCTGGCTCCCTTGAGTCATTTGTCCTAATTATTTCATCAAACAGTGTGCTTAAAGCATCAGACAAGCCCAGTGCATTTAGATTGTTTTGTTGTTGGGTACAGCACTTGCAGCTTCACTGATATCTTCTGGAATTATGATCATCGTAAAAAGCCAGATACCTCAGAACCGTTTCGAATGCCGACAGCGTTAATGGACAAACCATTTCAATCTCATGATGGACTTGATGAAGAGAATCCACAGAGTCAGCAGCTTAGTTTGTGCATTCTAAAACACTTCCCCCTAAAACAGAGAAAGCTTCTCATAACAACCCCTCCCTTTGATAAACTGACCACTGGCCTTTGTCTCTGCCAAGGTTAATGGCCTCTGAAGAGGAAGTTAATTATGACACTGCAAAAAGGTCTAGCACTATCACACCAAAACAGTAATGTAGAACCACTTGCGTCCTATTGAGAGGCTACAGGAAATGTTTTCTTCTTTAACCCCTGACATGGAATGACTTTTAGTTCTGCAATTAGTGTCCTGCTTTTGCTGTTCTCTCCGGTCAGAGTGCTCTATTAACTGGAGAATGGGATACTCCTCAAAAGACCGACAGAGAGCGGAGTCACGGCTCCCAGCTCCAATGGGCACACAGTTCTGGTTTGTTTTTTCATCACTAGACAGTCGTGGGACAGCAGCAGATGAATGCAGTGTCAAATTTAGACACTCTGCTAGACAGCACATGGGAGACCCACAGTGCTTATAGGATACCTGTAGGAAGCTTATAGAACTTGTGAGAACCAATGGTATATTAAGAGATTCAACAGACTGTTTGCAATCTACCACTTACAGACTTACTCAGAAGGGCAAATGGGGTGCGTACAGAGCTAGTGAAAGGCCAACGGGGTTACTTACAGCTCCTGGCGCAGACGTCTGATCTTGGCCTTGGCGTCGGCCAGCTCCACAGACAGGTGCTGCCGGCTCTCTGTGCGGCGCATGCTGGGCGAGTCGTTGGGTGACTGGGCACAGAACGGCTGGGGAGAGTACTGTCCACAGTCCCTCTCCTGGGTCAGCTCCACGATGGTCTGGAAGGACACAACACCACAACACTTAGACAAAACTCACAAACCAGGGCTCTTATCATGTATCCTACACACATCATATACACTGAGTGTACAAAACATTAGAAACACCTGCTCTTTCCATGACATAGACTGACCAGGTGAAAGCTATGATCCCTTATTGATCTCACTTGTTAAATCCACTTCAGTCAGTGTAGATGAAGGGGTTGAAAGAAGTTAAAGAAGGATTCTTAAGCCTTGAGACATTTGAGACATGGATTGTGTATGTGTGCCATTCAGAGGGTAAATGGGCAAGACAAAATATTTAAGTGCCTTTGAACAGGGTATGGTAGTAGGAGCCAGGTGTGTTAAGAACTGCAACACTGCTGGGTTTTTCATGCTCAACAGTTTCCCATGTGTATCAAGAATGGTCCACCACCCAAAGGACATCCAGCCAACTTGACACAACTGTGGGAAGTATTGGAGTCAACATGGGCCAGCATCCCTGTGGAACGCTTTCGACACCTTGTAGAGTCCATGCCCCAGCGAATTGAGGCTGTTCTGAGGGCAAAAGGGGGTGCAACTCAATATGTATGTTTTATACACCAAGTGTATACTTGAGATATGTATCATGCATTCCTTACTTGAAATCATCAGCCTGAGTCATCTAACAGATTTGGATGGGTGAAAGCAAGGCTCTCACAAATTGCTTTGAACCGTGTTTGATCATTGATCACAATGAGGGTCAAAGCAGTTGTCAGGCAGGGTATTGAAGATTGAGGATACTGAGGGTGTGGTTTGCAGACTATGTTGTCAGGCTGCCCTGCTGTTCTGTCTGCTCAGTCTGGGAGGTGTGAGCTTAGGGAGATGACTCTGATTTGGACGGGCCACAGAGGAGATGCAGCAGCACCTAGACACCGGGATCAGTCACTTAAATGGAAACCCCAAACATAATGAAAAGCCCAGTACTAATTGGCCTAATGCAGTTAAGGCTCAAGTATCGGCACGCAACAACTGAATTGAGCTGGGTTCGGAGATAAGAGTGGGAAAAGGCATTGGGTTTAAATGGTCTGTGAAAGGGAGAGGAAATCAAACGACGTATTCCCATCATCGTCATTATAGTTCACCCCACGACCCTCCTCTCTCGTCCTACGTTTATAACCCAGTGGCCATGCAAGGAAATGGGCTTTTAATGAAGTGTGTCTGGCCTCCAGTGGAGATCATCATCACCCCATCCCTGTCCGCGCCCCTGGCCAATAGAATGCTGGGATTGCTGCTCTACCAGGCCATGGCAGCTGTATGGGTGGGCCATGCTTAATCAGACTGCTCTGGGTTCAACTCACACACACACCAACCACACACTCAGACACACACACATTGACGCCATATAAAATGCACAGACAGATACCATCTAGACTCTATATAGATTGTTAACACATTTCCCACAACATTTTATGTCTCGTGGGTTGAGTTAAAAAGGCACCAATGTGCCCCGTTTCAGACATGTACCTCCAGCTGGTCGTCTCTCTCGTCCAACAGGCGTTTGAGATGGAAGGCCATGTTCCTGGAGAAGGAGTCCAGGTCCTCTGGGGGCAGCTCGCCCCCCTCCAGCCACTGCAGGTCCACAACATTCTCCTGGTTGTGGGTCACCTTCAAAACAACAGCATATCAGAGTCATCTCACTCTGCCAGCCAATACACAGAGACCCAGGTGTGTTGACAGCAATGGGCAGCCAACTACTTTAACTTAAACAGCTGTGAAGGACAGTGATGTAAATTTGGCTAATGAACTCACAGATCTGTCCTACATTAACTCAAGTGTCTTTAAGCATGAAACACAGAGAATCTCACTGCCGAAAGACTGCTGATAGGTACAGTGGGAGGACGTTCCTTCTCTTGCTAGAACAAAAGCAGTACCTGCTGCATGCAGACCCGGTAGCGACGACCCTACCGTTTCTACTTGTAGAATTGCAATGCTCGTCAGTGACCAACAACTTGACTTTGAGCCAATCAGAGAGCACGAACCCGCACGTGGGTGAGCCAATAAAATTACAAAAAAGGAAAAAGAGGGTATTTTCTCCGTACATCCACGGATGAGCCAGTCACACTTCATATGCAATGTAGGCTATAGGATGATAGTTAGCTAAGTGCACAGACGCAATGCACACAACACTAAATACTTCCTCCAAGCTAGCTAACCACTGTAGCTAGTGTTGACATTATAATTAAATCACAATGGATTAGCTAGTTTCCATGAAACAGCTGCCTGTGTTAGCTGCCAAGTTAGTGCAGTGTCCTTAGCTAGCTAGCTATGTTGTGCTAGCTAGCTAAACATTTGGCTATGGGCTGGCACTGGCAATATGGGACTATGGAGAATTAATTAAATAGTTTCTTCTTCATCTTGCTAGGTAGTTATCTAGCTGTGGCCATCTGGCTAGTATCAACAAGAGCTTTCTTCAAAATATCAACATTAGCGCAGCTAGCTTGGAATCTAGACCATAAGCAACACACACGGACATGCATTGCCAAACAACGCTACTGCCACCTTCTGGTTTGGAGTATTTTAACAACATTTTACATTTACATTTTAGTCATTTAGCAGACGCTCTTATCCAGAGCGACTTACAGTTAGTGAGTGCATACATTTTTCATACTGGCCCCCCGTGGGAATCGAACCCACAACCCTGGCGTTGCAAGCGCCATGCTCTACCAACTGAGCTACAAGAGGCCCACTGAGCTACAAGGCTGAATGTCTGACGATTTCCAAGGTTTTTTCTGTGTGAACACAACAGAGCTTGACTGCCGATACTCTGTTCAGAGATGCTAAGTACTGACGGCAGGCAAATGATTGACAATCCTACCGGTGTGTCTGAGCTGTTACACAACAAGCTGGCCCAAAAGAGACACAAGAGGTCCCAGGGTTTATGTTTTGCCCTCACAAAAATGTGTTTTTCGTTTTTTTTCACTCATACCTCTTGGATGTGAGATGCTATGGCAGCTTTTGTGTCAAAGTCTAGGGTCTGGATCCTCTCGATGTACTCCTCTTTCTTCTCACACTGCAAACAAAAAGAGGCAGTTTGGGGTTAGGATGACAGTCTGGAGAGGTCTTTGTGAGGTCACAGGAGAATGGCCTGAGTTCGGATTGGTTGGCTTTAAGGAAAGCGATGTCTGAAGGAATGTGTAGGTATTCTCTTAGACTATTATCTGGTAACCATGTGTAGTGAGCAGCTACTTTGTTCTTTCCTGTTGGTGAGAGTGTAAGGGAGACAGGTTTTCCCGCCTCAAAAATGCAGACATTTTGCAAGAACTGTTATTTTTATGTGCCTTTAACCTGTAATCGAACATCGTCACCTTCAAATCATGATCGAAAAAACAAAACAAATCAACACCGACTTCATACAGACAGATGAGACAGATACATATTTCCCTTTGAGGGGTCTTTGAGAAGTAGCCTGTTCAGAACCCCTGAACAGTGTAAACGAGAATGACAGTGTGAGGTCAGCATCTCTCTGGCTAGGGCACTGGTTATGTATGAGGCATCGTCATTACTACTCCAGCCAGGCTCAGGGCAGAGATAGAGACAAGGGTCGGGTCAGGGCAGACAGGGCCTCCCATGGAGCAGACACGCCATCTGACAGCCCCTCTGACCCCTCTCTGACCTGCTACCAGGACAGCCAGGACAGACCACCTGTCGCAGTGCCAACTGCTGAGGAAGAGGGAACAGCGAACTAATGCTAGTCTGAGTGAGAATGACTCCTTTCACTCACATTACTCATATAGCTGTGTTAACACTTGTCTGAACAATAGAGCCGAAGGTTATAGATGTTCAGGAACTAGTGAGTAAGAGCTATTCATAACGGTAGTAGAGTGAGTGTTCATCCTACAGGAGAGTTATGGTATTGGTAGACTACTGACAGTAGATGATTAAGGGGGTGATGAGTGTAGGACTTACCTGGACGGCACAGCCAAGCAACAGCAACAAAAGCTTCTTCATCTCCTCCAGTCCTTGCTCTGCAGACACAAAGAGATTGTCAATTAGCGTTTTACTACCATTGTTAACAATTTACTAGCATTGATTTGATTACTCTTTTTACAAGTTTTATATTTGACTGTAGCTGTTTCGGTGATACTGGATACTGGTCGGGTGAGGTTGTGTTTCTCTAGCGGGAGGTAAGCTTGGCTTCTTATATGGTGTTGAGTAAAGCTTAAACCATGTATTTAGATTGTAGGTAGGTATTGTAGTTAGGTATTGTAGGTAGTTTATCTAGGTAGTTATTGTAGGTAATTATTGTATTCGGCTGAGACCGGTGAAGCACAAGGCTAGCTAACCCACTACCTGGACCAATAAAGCTAGCTAGCTAGCGGGTAGCTACTGGTAACTATTAGCAACTGTGGATAGTTGTTTCCAATGTTATTTCACGCTTAAGAGTACCTGTAATTATGCCAGCTAGCTACCTACCATTCAGCTGTTTTTCTAACCTCATTATCGGAAGCGTTAACGTTAGGTAGTTAGTAGCTACTGTACTCGAAATGTAGCTAGCTTGTTGCTACCTGGATAGCTAACTAAACAATAGCTTGAACGACCTAGCTGTAATATTTGGAGACGCTTTCTCTCTGTTGGGACAGACGCAAACTGTCTGAATCGATTCAGTGGCTAGCTTTGCACTTAACTTATTTTTGTTTTGTTTTTACATTCTGGTAACCAGAGTCGTTCAAGGGAATTCGGGACATGGGTGACTAGTTAACGTTAGCTTGGCTCTCTCTGTGTGTTTCGTGCCGTGGGAGGACGGGTTTGTTCGTTGGCAGAGAGCAATGGCTAGCTAGTATGCTAACTATTCTAGCTAATTAACTGGCTGAATAAGTTGACGACGTACTCACTCAAACTGTCAAAACTAACCCAAAACCTTACACAACGTTAGACACGGACACGATTGATCTGTTTGGCGTGTTATCACACTGGTGGTTTGTTGTAACCGAGTATTGGTGCTAAACCGTGTTATTGGAGGCTGGCATGCTATGGCGTCATAGGATTCGGTGCCCTGGACGGTTTTCACGGAAGAATACTGTACCAAGTTAGCTAGCTGAATAAACTAAGTTAGTCTTTTCCTAGAAAACATTGAACCGCTGTAGTTTACAACAATTATAATTTCTAAAGTGGAAGAGTTATATTTGAGTGTTTCAGTGACACGTAAGTGAGGGAGGCCCTGCTCTCTCGCTTTCCCAGATGTTTAGTTCATTTCCGGCAGCCTCTGGAACTGCCATTCTGAGGCCAACAAGGCAGAGTTCATCTCAGCCTATGCTACCCTCCAGTCTCTCGACTTCTTGGCGCTGACGGAAACATGGATTACCACAGAAAACACTGCTACTCCTACTGCTCTTTCCTCGTCTGACCATGTGTTCTCGCATACCCCGAGAGCATCTGGTCAGTGCGGCGGTGTCACAGGAATCCTCATCTCTCCCAAGTGGACATTCTCTCTTTTTCCCCTGACCCATCTGTCTATCTCCTCATTTGAATTCCATGCTGTCACAGTCACTAGCCCATTCAAGCTTAACATCCTTGTCATTTATCGCCCTCCAGGTTCCCTTGGAGAGTTCATCAATGAGCTTGACGCCTTGATAAGTTCCTTTCCTGAGGATGGCTCACCCCTCACAGTTCTGGGTGACTTTAACCTCCCTACGTCTGCCTTTGACTCATTTCTCTCTGCCTCCTTCTTTCCACTCCTTTCCTCTTTTGACCTCACCCTCTCACAGTCCCCCCCTACTCACAAGGCAGGCAATACGCTTGACCTCATCTTTACTAGATGCTGTTCTTTTACTAATCTCACTGCAACTCCCCTCCAAGTCTCCGACCACTACTTTGTATCCTTTTCTCTCTCGCTCTCCTCCAACACTACTCACTCTGCCCGTACTCAGATGGTAATGTGCCGTCGCAACCTTCGCTCTCTCTCTCCCGCTACTCTCTCCTCTTCCATCCTATCATCTCTTCCCTCTGCTAAATCCTTCTCCCTCCGATCTCCTGATTCTGCCTCCTCAACCCTCCTCTCCTCCCTTTCTGCATCTTTTGACTCTCTATGTCCCCTATCCTCCCGGCCGGCTCGGTCCTCCCCTCCTGCGCCGTGGCTTGACGACTCATTGCGATCTCACAGAAGAGGGCTCCGGGCAACCGAGCGGAAATGGAGGAAAACTAGACTCCCTGCGGACTTGTCATCTTTTCACTCCCTCCTCTCTACATTCTCTTCCTCGGTTTCTGCTGCTAAAGCCACTTTCTACCACTCGAAATGTCAAGCCTCTGCCTCTAACCCTAGGAAGCTTTTTGCCACCTTCTCCTCCCTGCTGAATCCTCCTCCTCCTCCCTCTCTGTGGATGACTTCATCAACCATTTTGAAAAGAAGGTTGACGACATCCGATCCTCATCTATTAAGTCAAATGACACCGCTGGTCCTGCTCACACTGCCCTACCCTATGCTTGACTTCTTTCTCCCCTCTCTCTCCAGATGAAATCTTGCGACGGCCGGCCGCCCAACAACCTGCCCGCTTGACCCTATCCCCTCTACTCCAGACCATTTCCGGAGACCTTCTCCCTTACCTCACCTCGCTCATCAACTCATCCTTGACCGCTGGCCATGTCCCTTCCGTCTTGAAGAGAGCGAGAGTTGCACCCCTCCTCAAAAAACCTACACTCGATCCCTCCGATGTCAACAACTACAGACCAGTATCCCTTTCTTGAGCGTGCCGTCTCTAGCCAACTCTCCTGCTATCTCTCTCAGAATGACCTTCTTGATCCAAACCAGTCAGGTTTCAAGACTGGTCATTCAACTGAGACTGCTCTTCTCTGTGTCACGGAGGCTCTCCGCACTGCTAAAGCTAACTCTCTCCTCTGCTCTTATCCTTCTAGACCTATCCGCTGCCTTTGATCTGTCTCCGCACCACGTGCTCTCACCACTGGTGTCCACCAGGGCTCAGTTCTAGGCCCTCTCCTATTCTCTCTATACACCAAGTCACTTGGCTCTGTCATATCCTCACATGGCCTCTCCTATCATTGCTACGCAGACGACACACAATTCATTTTCTCCTTTCCCCCTTCTGATAACCAGGTGGCGAATCGCATCTCTGCATGTCTGGCAGACATATCAGTGTGGATGTTGGATCACCACCTCAAGCTGAACCTTGGCAAGACGGAGCTGCTCTTCCTCCCGGGGAAGGACTGCCCGCTCCATGATCTCGCCATCACGGTTGACAACTCCATTGTGTCCTCCTCCCAGAGTGCAAAGAACCTTGGCGTGACCCTGGACAACACCCTGTCGTTCTCCGCTAACATCAAAGCGGTGACCCAATCCTGCAGGTTCATGCTCTACAACATTCGCAGAGTATGACCCTACCTTACACAGAAAGCGGCACAGGTCCTAATCCAGGCACTTGTCATCTCCCGTCTGGATTACTGCAACTCGCTGTTGGCTGGGCTCCCTGCCTGTGCCATTAAACCCCTACAACTTATCCAGAACGCTGCAGCCCGTCTGGTGTTCAACCTTCCCAAGTTCTCTCATGTCACCCCGCTCCTCCGCACACTCCACTGGCTTCCACTTGAGGCTCGCATTTACTACAAGACCATGGTGCTTGCCTACGGAGCTGTGAGGGGAACGGCACCTCCTTACCTTCAGGCTCTGATCAGACCCTACACCCAAACGAGGGCACTACGTTCATCCACCTCTGGCCTGCTAGCTCCCCTACCTCTACGGAAGCACAGTTCCCGCTCAGCCCAGTTAAAGCTATTCGCTGCTCTGGCACCCCAATGGTGGAACAAGCTCCCCCACGACGCCAGGACAGCGTAGTCACTGAACACCTTCCGGAGACACTTGAAACCCTACCTCTTTAAGGAATACCTAGAATAGTATAAAGTAATCTTCCCCCCCCCCAAAAAAAAAGAAAAGTGGTTGTCCCACTGGCTATCATAAGTTGAATGCACCAATTTGTAAGTCGCTCTGGATATGATGTAAATGTAAATGTTTCAAATCCATTTCATAACCAAATCCCATAAGCTTTTGCAGCATCATATTGCAAAAGGCTAAAACGATAACTGCCCCCCAGACACACAGATAGGATGCTTACTACAGCCATGAGATGAGCCATTCAAGTAACCCTATTACATACATGTAAACTGGTTATGCTTGCTTATAATGCGATGTCCCCAACCAAAAAGATTGTACTGTATTTTGCAGTAATCCAATGCCAAGCCACACGTAGATGAAATGATAAAACAGATGCTAGGAAGCTCAACAAGGTTGAGGTAATAATCTGTAGGATTATACTGTAAAATAATGAGCCAGGTGGTTTATTTCTCTCTCTCTGTGTGTGTGTGTCTGTGTGTGTGTGTGTGTGTGTGTGTGTGTGTGTGTGTGTGTGTGTGTGTGTGTGTGTGTTAAGCCAGCTCATCAGCCCCAGGGGTAGAGAGCGGCGCTGGGCCATAAACACAGATGACTAACAACAGGCTTAGACAACCAGGCATGTTTATTCAGAAAAAGGGCCACACAGCAATTATAACTACTGTAAAACCCCACCAGTAGATAAAAAATTTTTATGGACAGCCATAATATCAATGGCAAGATTTTGTTCTTAGTGTATGCTATGGTGCATCCGTCTCCTCCATGTGGGTGTAGATGTTGGGTGTCTAGTGACAGCAGAGGTAGTGGGTTTAGAAGGTTGAACTATCGGGTGTAGCCGATACAATGGAATATACTCTTCTAAGAGGCATTTGGTGTTAAATGTACTGCTACAGTGTCAAGTCCACTAATGATAAACATTATGACTCACTAGCAACACTTCAACTGAGCTATATCTTATATAATAATATATTATTATTATGTATCTGTAACTAATCAACAACTGATCGTGACACATCAGTTTCACCAATCATAATGGCATCCTCTTTGAAAACAAGATTCATCCCATTCCATGTGGATTTCTTTAAAATGTACACACACACGACATCTAGAGGATCACACACAAATCTCAGCTAAACTAACAGGATGTTTTTGGCCCAGATTGAAGCACCATTAGTAATAAAAATAACTGTAACTGGCCTATATTTGCAACCTCCTCGGGCCAGAACAGGAACAGCCTCAGAATATCAATTGAGAGAAGTAGGTCTGTTATGAGAGCAGTGCAACTACAATCGCAGAAAGAGTGAAAAGTCTACATGTAAACGTGTGACCTTTTGAGGCCCATCCTCACAATACGTCATCAAAGCTAATCAACATCTATAAAGGGAAATAGAGAGTAGCCTGTTCTAGATTTCTATTCCGAGTACAGAGTGCAAGCTGTAACAAATGCCTTCTAAATGCTGTTTCTTCTAACTGAAAGCCTTAAGAAGGATTCATACACACATAGAACCTACACACAGAAGCCTGTATAGTGATTTGGAAAGGCAAATCTTCTTGAGCACTAAAGATAAGGAGCAGGCAGGCAATGGATGAATAATTTAAAGAGGCTGACTGAACCAAGCATGTCTGAAGTGATAGCGAGAGAGAGAGAGAGCGAGCGATGGGGAGAGAGAGAAAGAGAAAGAAAAAGATGTGGCGAGAGAATGAGAGAGAAATAAAGAGAAAGGGAGAGAGGGCAAGAGGAAGAGGAGATGGTTTAAAGTAGATGAAGGACATTTCCCTTCAGCGGCTCTGGCTCAGCAGAGGGTTGGCTCCCCAGACTGTTATCATAGTGCTGTATGTGCCTAGTGTGGCTCCTTCCCTCCTTCTTCCCCCCGTCACTACACTCCCTTCTTCCTGACAGGAAACTCACAGGGGCGCATGGACAGTGACTAACCCTTCAGAGTTGCACTCCTTCCTGCCCAGCTATTGTTCACAGGAACCTGGTGAGGGGGGTTCTTCCGGGGAGCAGGGACCCAAGGCCTCTGAGGTTTCCTCTGGTGGACGACAGTAGCACTCTCCTGCGGCCCTGGCCACTCTGTCATTTCATATCATCATAATAGTCATTTTCATCACACTGACTATCTATTTTGTCGATGCCAATTGGCCCAATCATTGTTATTCAGTATATCTATAATGTGGGTCAGTATATCCATACTGTGGGTCAGTATATCTATAATGTGGGTCAGTATATCCATAATGTGGGTCAGTATATCCATAATGTGGGTCAGTATATCTATAATGCGGGTCAGTATATCTACAGTATAATGTGGGTCAGTATATCCATACTGTGGGTCAGTATATCGATAATGTGGGTCAGTATATCCATAATGTGGGTCAGTATATCTATAATGCGGGTCAGTATATCTACAGTATAATGTGGGTCAGTATATCTATGTGGGTCAGGGACTACTCATGGTTCCTCTGACAAGAAAGAAAATACAAGACTTTTGCTAATTTCACTTTTCACCACTGAAACTGATTTCATAATCACCTATTTCCCCTACTCTCACCACTCCCCAGGTATTCTAACCATCTTCAGGCTTCTAAATGTGACTGTAGGTTTCCTGACTTTCCCACAACCCCACACATTGTTGCAGGTGACCGTCAGTCTGGCCTGCCTCCACCTGCCATTGAAGAGCAGTTGTCTCCTTACAGTTGATGTTCCTGAAAAGGGACACTTCTCTGGCATCTAAAACGACCACACTAGAATGTTACAAAGTCAGCAATACAAAGTAGGTACAAACTACTCTCTACGTGGCAGGAAACTGACACTCATACCCTTTCTCTCAAATGAAGGCTTGATTGTTAAACCAAAGGAGAAGTAGGTTCACTATAAAGACAGACAATGCCTGACTGTAGTCTTCATTGAACAGGAGATTAGCCTTCAGGGGCACATTGTGTTCTAGCTGGTCTAAGTGCTTCTCTTTTGAAGCAGGATCAGACTGAATCGAAGTGATATTCAGTGTTGAGGTCTGTGTCTGAGGTCAACAGACAGTCTGGGGTAGGAGGCACCCAAGGGGAGAGGGAACCAGATGAGATAGTGGGCTCTGAGGAGTGGGGTTTTGTAGTGTTTAGTAACAGAGTGGGTTAATAATCAGAGTCCGGGGTGGATTCTGGATTCCCATAGTGCTGATAATGGGCCCATCCCCCAAAGAGCCTTAATGACTGCATACTAAAAGCCACATGGGCAATCACTTTCAGATGGCTCCAGCTACTATTGCTGCTGCACACCACTAGGGTCAAAGGTCACAGGAAAAATACTGGAATGCTGCATGTTGAGGTTCAGGACTGAGTTGGTCTGATAATACTTTGCACATAGGAGTATCAAATGACGTGGCTGTGTTGTCTGGGTCTTGACTCCAGAGAAAGATACTAGCTATTTTTCACAGTAGCTCATTCAAGATTCAACAAACCAGCATAATGTGCTTCCTAAATCCAAATATTTTGACACAATACAATCAATGGCTGGTTTTATCTTGGTTTCACATGCCTATCCAATAAGGCAATATCTTACCACGAAGAGTCCTCTGTAGCTCAATTGGTAGAGCATGGCGCTTGTAACGCCAGGGTAGTGGGTTCGATCCCCAGGACCACCAATGTGTAATAATGTATAATGTATGCACACATGACTGTAAGTCGCTTTGGATAAAAGCGTCTGCTAAATGGCATATTATATTATTATTATAGAACAGAGAGCGATTCTAGCTGGTGGAAATTACATCTACACACAAGGGCAAGGAAAACTGATTTCAAGATAAAAGGGGGCTGTGTAAAACAACAGGCCTACATGATGTGCATTGCATAATAAGGAAGTTATAAAGGGTTCACATTATGTATGATTCTACATTGCATTCTAATACAGGACAGTAACATTCTCAGTGAGAAGATGGAAGATTTCCCCACTGAAACCCCAGTGTAAAAGTGTGTATTGTTGGCAGGTCAGTCAGATGAAGACGTACCACTGAGAGGGTTCCTGCCCAGCACCAGCACGTTGGGGAGAGGCATCATCACCAGCTGCTGGAGGGTCTCCTAGAGGAACAAACACATACAAAATACTTATTATTACAGTATTAGTTATTACAGTATGAGTTAACAGTATGAGATATTACAGTATGCGTTATAACAGTATGAGACATTACAGTATGAGTTGTTATTACAGATGTTCACAGGATGTTATACATCCTGAAAAAAGTGTACATATTGTTTTCACTGACCATCAGAAAGAGTAGTGATTGCATGAGGAGACGGAGACACCATCTTTAAAGGACCACTGCAGAACCATGCATGAATACTTTTCCCGCTCCTTACTCAATGCGATAGCTAAGCTAGAGAGTTTCAGGGAGGCCGTGTAATCTTAAGAGACGGTACAGACAGAGGGATGCCCAGTGTGGGGATGTTATATAAAGAGTATCAACTTGTAAACCAATAGACAAAGCAAGGGTCTCATGTGGCATCGTTTGATGATGTCACCCATCCTGTGTATGTGTGCTGAATGTGTTCTTGGCTGTCATGTGACAACAGTGACCATGGTTCTTGTGTAGGTTGTAAATCCCCCTTTCACTACAAGGTGTTCACATGTCCATCATGAAAACAGGATACCCATCTAAAATGCACACGTAAAGCTCACACACAAGAAGACACTTACAAAAACCAGGCACACACACACACGCACATACACACGCGCACCCACACACCACCACACCATCCGCAGAAACCTTGTCCTCGGCTGACTAGACGAGTAAAGCTGCTTATCCCCTGCTCCTCCTAGTTCAGTACACCCCCATGCTGCCGCTGGTACTCTGGCAGACAGGTAGTCATGCTGACTGATTGATTCTCCACACAGTCTTCATATAGTATGCCAAAAGCCAAGTACTCAATAAATGAGGGAGGGCTTTCATTAAACAGCTTTAAATATTGATTCAGTAATGGAGAAGTCTGTTGGACTTGTGGGACTGGTATGAGACTAGTGGGCAGTTCTGGTTTGACCCACTGCTCTAGGGCCTGTGTCTAATCTCTAACAGACAGCCGGACTGACTGGCTGTTTGGAACAGAACCAAGGCCTTTGATAATGACCATGCTTACTGTGTGTGGATAGCAATTTAAGCCTGTGTTGGGCCTTGAGCCAAAGAACTCCAACCCAAAGTAACCATTCAATTATATGTGGGGCAGTGGCCTGACATCATCTGTCCAGCTCACATTACATCCGGAGAGCTTGGGTTGGTGTATCTGTGTCTAACGATTAAACTAACACCAAGATACTGGACTAGGGCCTATATCAATATTTCTCCAACTACCGGTCATAACATTTAGAAACATAGTGAATCTAGTGAATCTTAATTTGAGTCCTCTTCAGAGACGTCTGTGGCCAAATTGAAAGAGTCGTTTTTCAAGCATAAAGGACATGAGGGCTATTACCTTCAATATTTAATGCCCAGTGAGGCAAACTCCACATACACCTTATGTAACCCTCTTTGAAATGTCTATGTACTCTTCTCACTGATGCAATGAAAAATAAGCATATTATTATTTAACATGAGATTTTGGAAAACCACATTATTGATGCCATTACCTCATGGTGAAGGATAACAAACCCTTTCAGTTTGGGCTTTTTATTGCCAGAAGGTACACAATGTTTTTGTAACACATTGCTACCACTGGTGTCAAGGCAATCACATCTGGTCATTAATAAGCTTGTCTGTGTTGAGAGAGATTTCCGGTTGTAGACCTTCATATGTGTATGACATGACATGAGGAAAAACAGACACGCGTGGACAAAATACGGATGATGCCTGTCACACTAGCAGGTGCCCAGGGACGGAAGGTCAGAGGGTTCTGAAGGTCATACGTTTCCAGGGGTTACACAAAGAGAATGTAACATGGTTGCCATGGTTTTATGTGTCAGTCAGGATAAGAGTGTCAGTGTGGACTAGCTGCTGCTCTGCTGTGCTGGTGAATGGTGGGAGGATGATTATATGGCTAACCCCGCAGGAAGGGAGTACCTTCACATTTGTCCATGCTTCCAGAATAGAATAGATAGGGTAGAATAGCATGTGATTTCTCATCATCAAACGCTATCCCACCACAATGCATTTTAAAGTGAGAAGCACAGGTCACCCATGTGGCATAAGGTGTTGACTGCTGAGTCAGATCCCAAGACAGCAACTGTGGCCTTGGATAGTTAGGAACCCACAGAGGAATACATACAAACACTCTTATTTCTCGACTCTGCCCAACACCTGTCCCTTTTCTAGCTGCTGCCTCCCCCTCCCTGACACACACACACACACACACACACACACACACACACACACACACACCTGTCCCACTCGGCAGGCACGTTTGCAGTCCAAACACATAGCACCGTCAGGCACTGCATCAAAAGCCTGAGTAATCGTTACCCAGTCTACCCACCGCATATGCTCTCAATGTTACCCCCTCTCTATTTGGGTTAAGAATCTCCTATTTCATGGAGGGAAAACACAGGGAATGGAAAGCCTCAGATTCATGCTATAGGATCAAGTGTATTCCTGTTTGTTAGGATTTATGAAAAAGTGAAACACTCTTTAAATCCCCTGACTGCTTGAAGTGGGGGGTTGGATTCTACGTAAAGGAGAAGGGGGAGGGGTGTACAGATTGGCCAACAGCATAGGACTAACTGCTGAATCACAGAGGCTGAATCAATGCTAAAACACAGTTTGCATATTGAAATAAGTGTTTGTGTGTTATAATATGGAGGTTGGATTAGCCCATGATAACAAGAGCTTACAGCCCATATCTCATGCATAAAACATGATGGAAACAGTCAGGAACGGGCACCACACTGTGGGGTGTTATGTTGATCTGGTATAATGAGAATGGGGTGGCAGAAATACTGCAACTCTTTGAAATGGAAAAGCCTCCCTATCATCCAGAGTGGCAGACCGCCAGGCAAACAGGCAACAAAAACAGCACTCTCAGTATCTGCCTCACATCTGCCACTTAATATTCATGGTGAGAAAATAGTCAATCTGTAAAACAGGTTAAGCAGATGTGTCGAGAGAGA